TATTGAGCTCGGGATAGCTTATTTGATGAAGCTGTTAGAGTTTATTGGATTGCGCAGCAGGAATTAATCTGGGTTATCTGAGCAAACATAGTTGCACACAAGCTGAGGAGAGACACAAGATTTTAGCACAATTTGCAAAATTACTCTATTCACAGGATATAATGCAAAGTGTAGTGACTGTATTTTATAGGCAAACGCTGCAGCAAATTTGTGCACAGCAATGTCCCACAAAAGAGCTGTATGATGAGTAACCAATTTCTTATCTGGGGGATTGTTGGCCAGAAATCCAGGAGAGAGAAACTCCCTTCTCTTTTTGAATCATGTCGTGGGATCTTTAACATCCTCCTGAACAGACAGGTTTCTATAGCCTAGGATTGATGGAGCTAGAAGTTTAGGATATCATTCTTTATGGAGCAGATATTCAGTGTTGCTATTGATCATCTGTGTAACAGTGGGTGGGGAGTGGAACCAAACCTGCAGTGTTAAAATTGGCCATTCACTTCATGGCTGTTCGTGGGACATTGCTATGTGCAAATTGACCACTGCCTCCGGCTACAGTCATATCTCTACACTGCTTTGGAGTGGTTTTGCCATTCTCGGAGCAGTGACTCACATAGGAGTTTTTATTTCAGTGCAAGCTGGTACAACACATTTCATTATAGTGAAGATTCACTAAGCTACTGTCATGCAAAGGGGGGTGAAAACCTGCCATCGCAGCCAGATTTACTGAGAAAAAGCAATTACACAGAGAGAAGGCAGAGCCTCTAGAACCAAGATGCTCTTGATCTTGCCACGCTGGCCCACATGATGAAGTGCGATTATTAACACCACCCGGACATCCCACATTCTCTATTTCAGAATCCATCAGAGCTCCAGTTGAGGAGTTAATGATCACAATGGGTTCAGCCCTGCTCAGGTGCCAGCTTCTGCTTAATGCCTCTGAAACGAATGCTGCCATCATTTTTTTCCTTTGTTCACTGATTGATATATGTGTAGCTTGCTCTGTGGAGTCCTGTACCATATTGCTTAGACCACTTGCCTCGCAAGCTGGAGGACCCGGGTTTCATTCCCAGACAGGGCGAAACCTTCGACAGGTTTCCTTACTCCACACGTCCCTCTTTACCTAACAATAAGTAGGAACCCGGTTGTTAGTCGATTGGTGGATTGCTTTCCGGGGGGTAATAATCCCTTCAAACAAACAAATAAATAAATAAATGTGGTCACTCATTGCACGACTGTTTGTGGGACACTGCTGTGCGCAATTAGTTGCCGCATTTCGCCCTCAAAATACCGTCAATCCACTTGACAGTATATTCTGTGAAGCTTTGAGACATCCCAATGGTGTGATAAGGCGCTATATCAAATGCAAGGATTATTATTATTATTGTCGATGTATTTGCTGTAACCGACCACCATGTATTCAGAGGCGTCCGTTGCATTATAGCCAATGGCAGCCTCAAGGCTAGAGGGTCAGAAGGTTGTGGGTTGAAGCCTCACAATGGGGAGTGTGAGCTCAAAGATGCCACTTGAGCATTAAAGATCCCATAGCTTTACTCGGAAAGAGAAGGGAGTTTCTCTCTCCCAGTCTCCTGGCCAACAATATCACAAATAAAATTGGTCATTGATTTTGTGTGATGTTGCTGTGGGCTAATTGACTGCTGCAATTGCTTACAGTTATGTCATTATACTTGTCTTGCTTTGAGTAGTTTTGACATGCTGTCCCACACACAGGGAGAAGTGCTCCACCAAATAGTTCTCAGTCAGCTGGTGTCGAGGCAGCGAGGCGGGTAGGAGATAGGGGGTACTTTCCTGTACCGCTCTATCCCTCTCCTGCACCCCTCTATCCCTCTCCTGTACCGCTCTATCCCTCTTTTGTACCCCTCTATCCCTCTCCTGTACCGCTCTATCCCTCTCCTCCACCCCTCTATCCATCTCCTCTACCCCTCTATCCTCTCTTCTGTCCCCCTCTATACCCCTCTTGTACCCCTTTATCCCTCTCCTGAATCCCTCCTATTCCCTGGACAAAACAGCTGTTTGTTTCCTGTGCTGGGACTTTGATTGTGAAAGGCTGAGTTAGATGTTACGGAGACCATGAGGGCCTGAGCCTCGGGTGAGAAATATGCTTGAGCAGCACTAAAGTGTGTCCAGTTTTCTCATTTGCAACCAAATTATTAACTGCAAGAAAGCAGCTTGCTATTTTTAGCTCCTCTTGACATCAACATGACGTGGGTGCAGGAGTTGAGTTATTTTAGGAGTCTCACGAGGTAGAATCTAATCTGTTAAATATTGTTCTGCAGGGGATGAGGTGAGCAGCGTGTGGTGGAGGGGGGAGGAATCAGACCTTGGTCGTGCTGATAGATCGTGTGTGCAGAATATTGATGGTGCGGAATTGCACCCATTTTGCCCAGAGATGCAGAGTGCAGAGATTGGAAATGCATTCAGAGAACAACCTGTGCTTTCTCATTCACTGCAGGAACAAATCACATTTTCCCTGCGATGTTCAGGAGTTTTATGATTGATTGTAAAAGGGACCATTTCTTTTCCTTTCCTCCTTTTCTTTTGGCAATGAAATGCTTGCAAGCATTTTATTTCCGCCTCTTATCAAATGCACAAAATCCAATGGGCTTTGAACGCCCCGCTCTTCGGAATGAAACACATAAATCTCAATGGCGATTAAAGAAGGCTATGTGTTTTCTCTCTCTCGCCCGTTTTTTTCTCTCATTGGTGATGACAACACAGCTAGTCTGGCTCATCGGCAGGACTTGGAAGGGCAGACCAGTCACAGTCATTGGTCTGCTTAGGGAATCGGTCCTAGCTGGACAAGCAGCGGGAAAGCTTGCCAGACAGTGCTATCAATGCAGTGATCAACGATTTACCTATGCACACTCTGGGGTCCTGAAGCCTTGGTTCTTGCCAACCTGCGCCTAATAGTTTTCGGAATTAGGTAAGCAGGATACATGCCTTCCAGGAGAGCGGTCACTTTCCATTCCCACAATCTATCTCTGGGATTTCCATGTATAGGTGGGATGCATGGAAATCCCAACCTGGTTTGGATACTCTTAAGCACGGTGATGTGTCAGACACCCGGCTGACAAAAAAACATTCTCTCTGTCTTTCTCTCTTTGACTTTGGCAGTGATTTCCCTCTTGGGAGCAAGCGCTAACTTCCATTTCATGTGAATAATTGAGATCTCCTGTTGAAGGCCAGCCTTACTCGCCTTGTGGCCTTTCCCAAATGTCTTGTGAAATGGTTTTCGATCAAGTCAGGTTTCACAATGACGGACCTTCAAAAGAGTCAGGTCTCAGCCCGGCTCAGTCGGTAGCACACTCGTGCTTGTCAGTCCAGAGGGTGGGTGGGTGGTGGGTTTTTGAGTTCACGCTCCAGGCTGACCTTCTGATGCGGTGCTGGGGGAGTGCTGCATTGTTGGAGGTGCCGTCCTTCGGATGACACAATAAGCCAAGATCCCGACGGCACGATAAAGATCCCATTACACTATTTGAAAAGAGAAGGGAGTTTATCCTGGGGTCCCTGCCAACAAACCCCAAATAAAATTGGTCATTTCACTTGATGGCTGTTCATGAGACATGGTATACACAAATTGGCTGCCACATTGGCCTACAAAATATGCAATCACTACACTTTAAAGTAAACTACACTTTATGTCATTTTAACACGTTACCCTGAAGTGAAAATTACTTATATCAGATACAAAGATTGTTGTTAGTGGAGGATCCAGATTCAATTCCCGTGCGCGGCAAAACCTTAGGCAAGATTCCTTACTTCATATGCCCCTGTTTACCCAGCAGTAATAATTCCTACAAAAAACAATCATAATTTGCTCACCCAATCCAGGACTGTTTGTGAGACACTGCTGTGCACAATTGGCAGTCGCGTTTCACCCACAGAATTTACAGTCAATTCACTTTACAGTATAGTTCGTGAAGCACTTTGAGGCGTCTCAACGACATGATAAGAAGGCACTATATCAAATGCAAGAATTATTATTATTATTCAGCAGTGACACAGTGGCACCATGTGTTATTAGAGTTGCCACTGAGGCCATGTGCAGCGAACGGGTAGTGACATTACCGGTGACCCGGACGTTGGCCATTTTCTTCTCTTAGCGAACAAATCAGCCAACTCACTGCTTGTTAAACATTGCCATGGGAAACAAAACCTGGTATAGTTGGGGAACTTGTGATACCTTGATGAGGGGTTTGGTTGTAAGTTGAATTCAGGGGTTAATCTGAGTCGAGAAGCGGAGTGTACCCAGGATAAACCGTGAGAAAGACTCCCAAGTTTCCTTGAAATAGCAACAGCATTGTTACACCATGAGGGAGCACTTAAGCTGTTCGAGGTAATTAAACTGTCCGCCTCCTCCCTCGTGGGATGTATCTTGCCTTTTTTTCTTTTGCAGGAAATCTCTGTCTGTCATTTGAGGCAGTTATCTGATCCCACTCTTACTATCTTCAGCCGCGGAAATCCGCAGTGTATCAATAATTGCCTTAATTATCAAAGGAATTCAAATTTGCAGGGCTGAGCCAGTGCTGTGTTGTCGGAGATGCTGTTCTTCGCATGAGACGTTAAACCAAGGTCCCGCCTGACTGTCCAGGTGGACGTTAAAAATCCTGCAGCACTATTAGAAAAGAGAAGAGAGTTTCGCTCTCCCGGTGTCCTGGTGAAAAATGCCCCAGTTAAAATCGGTCACTCACTCCACGGCTGTTTGTGGGATGTTGCTGTGTGCAAATTGGCAGCAGCATTTGCTCACAAAATACACACAATTGCACCACTTTGCAGTGTATCCTTCGAAGCGCTTTGAGACATCTCAACAACGTGATCAGGTGCTATATCAACCGCATGGATTACTATTATTTTTGTTATGTTATGCTGGGAGCTTGTGTTGGACGAGACTCTGATCGTTCCTCACTCAGGAACCTTGCTCCTGGTTGCCTTCAGCTCGGGGTGTGCATGATTCAAATTCTCTTTGTGTCTCGTTACAGTACAGGATAGGACAGCTGTACACCATCAGCAAGCACAGCCACGAGCAGAGCGACAAGGGCGAGGGGGTGGAGGTGGTCAAAAATGAGCCGCACGAAGACCCCATCCATGGCAAAGGGCAGTTCACGGAGAAGCGGGTCCATCTGTCCAGGTAGGTGGCCGGCAGCTTCGGCACTAAAGTGCGTCATGTCCATTTCTCTTCCAACAACGCAAGCATTTAAATAGCTCCCTTCTGTGGGGCAGCTTCTCGGAGCACTTAACATTGGCGGAGCCTGACACCGAGACCAGGGGGAGGAAGGAGCTGACCACCATCACGGTCGAAGAGGAAGGTCTTCGGTTGTGAGCTAAAGGAGGGGAAGGAGGATGCAATGAGGAGGGATTGGGGGGCAGAGCGTTCTGAGAGTTTAAACCTTTGGCTGCCTGCTGGAAGGCAGACATGTTTTAGGATTTTTAAGATGGCACAGAATTGTGGAAATCTCCCCCCGTTCACCAGATTCTTTTTAAGAAACTGTGGAAAACCCTCTTCCACGTGAAGACTGAATTTAAGAATGTCTCCAGAATGGGGAGTGAAAAATTCCACTGCCATTATTCAAAAAGATAAGGGAGTCTCTCTCTCTCCTGGTGTTCTGACCACAATCCTCCAAATAAAATTGGTCACTCACCTCACTCTGTTTTCAAAACATTGCTGTGCACAAATTGGCTGCTGCAAACAGCTACAAATACACTCTGATAAGGCACTGTATGAAATGCAAGGATTTTTTAGTATTATTCTGCAGAGATTCTGGTAGTTTTACTGGAGATGGGAGACGATGGGAGAACGCATTCCTGTGTTGCTGCTGAGGCTCAGCCTTTCTGTGGTGGTAAGCTATTATATATACAACAACCTCATCCCCATTAATCCTAGGCTCCCACATTAACCAAATGCCTTTCAATCAGTCCTGTTGGCTGCTGGATGAATCTTTTAGCAAAAAGGTATTTGCGGGAGCATTTTAGGGCTGGTTTGTCTTCGGAGCTGTCCAGTTCAATCGAACATCATGTACAAGGCTCATTTTTTTAATGTCAGTGTTCACTCCTTTGGGAAACCATCCATCCTAATCCCAATAGCCTGCCCTCTCTTCCTCCCCCGCTCCCCCCCCTCCCTTCCTCCAGTACCCTTCCTCTGTATGCATCTTACTGTACCTGAAGGGCACTGTATCAAATCTCCTGGATGACAAACCTATTTATTTTCATAAACATTATTAATTAAGGGCAATATTGATAAAGGGCATTAGAAGGGGGTCCAGTGCCTTGGGACTTCCTCCCGATGTGAAAGGCGCTATACAAATGTTGTGGGGAAAGAGCAGGGAATGGAGATTGCAACAACAACTTGCATTTATACAGCTCCCCTCACGCAGGGTAGAGTCCCAGAGCGCTTGACAGTGACGGAGCATGACATCAAGCTGGGGTGTGGGGGAGATGACCATATCCACGGTCGAAGAGGATGCCTTTCAGGCACGACCTGAAGATGTGGAAGGAAGGGCAAGGCAGAGGGATAGAGGCAGAGTGTTCCAGAGTGTTCGGCATAGTGACTGAAAGCGTGGCTGCCAATGGTTAATTAAGATTAAGACAAATTGCTTTTGGAAGAACAAGCACTAATAAGAAAAAAATGGGTCAAGTGACTCCCTACCATGTCAAACACCTCCACGGTTCTATAAATGCAAGGATTTCATGCTATTAATGTGTCATTTCCTTCATGGCTGCTTGTGGGAGTCAAATTGTCGGCCATATTCGCCTACCGAATGCACATCGATTCCCTGTGAAGTGCTTTGAGAGGTTTCAATGTTATAAACGCTGCTTGAAATATAAGGATCATTATTTACTCCCTGGGTGATCACACAAAGAGGCATGTTTGGTTGGCCCCTTCGAGTTTCTGTTCTATGGTTGAGCTGAACTGCAGGAAACAAGAGAGAGAGAAACACACACCCACAGCCTGCAATTAATATATACCGCTCTGGAGTCCTGTAGCTCAGTGGTTGAGCACTCGCTTTGCAAGCTAGAGACCTGAGTTCAATTCCAGGCAGGGCGAAACCTTGGGCAAGTTTCCTTACTCCACACGCCTAATAATAATCCCTCCAAAAAACCAAAAAACAATAATAAATTGGTCATTTTCAATCCACGACTGTTTGTGGGACATTGCTGTGCGCAATTGGCTGCCGCGTTCGCCCACAAATATACAGTCAATTCACTTTACAGTGTGTTCTGTGAAGCGCTTTGGGACGTCCTCCCGACGTGAAAAGCGCTATATCAAATGCAAGGATTATTATTATTATTATTATTATTACATCTCTTTAATAAAATCCTCTTCTTTTTGAATACATTTTATTTCCAATTTTTCTTGCATGAAATAAATTGAACAAATATTTGTAGCAAACATTGCAAGGGTAAACGGGATCCCATCATGAAATATTTCTTTCACTTTGTACTACGAAAATACAGTTAATTCTGTTGAGACCACCTCCCCGACCATGAAAGGGGCTAATAATTACTAATAATAATCCTTGCATTTGATATATCATGTCATTGAGACATCTCAAAGCGCTTCACAGAGTATACTGTAAAATGGATTAACTGTATTTTGTGGGCCGCAGCCAATTGTGCACAGCAGTGTCCCACAAACAGTCGTGGATTGAGTGGCCAAATAATTTTTTTGAGGGATTATTAATTATTATTGAATGCACATAGATTAGTGTTTAACCCGGAAAGGAAAACGCACAAAATGATATCAAATTGCATTCCTTTTTCACTTTGTGTATCTGGGAGAGGGGGCGAAGTGTTGGGAGGAAAGGTCGCCTCCATTTTGCAAGAGATTAAAACCAGAATCTCTTCAGAATACGTGACAGAACGTGTGAGATGTCACAGGGGAGCGCAGGGGGAGCTAAATTAATGGGCTGATTTACAGCACGACTGGTGAATTATGCGGGGTTAAGGACATGGCTGGGCGTTGTACTGCTGTGTATGCCTGTGTCAGGCTGATTGTCTCCATCACTGTTGTAGTGATGCTTGTTGGTGGCCCTTACCTTTTAATGCAATTTACACTCAGAGTTCCTGTTATGCTGAGGCTGTGCTTAAGTTTGATTGTGTCAGAATACTTCATGGTCCTATTGTTAAATCATTCTGCAGCCTGACAGCTGCATGTCACAGACGTTGAATACACCTCGTAGAGAGTGTTTTGCAATAAACTGTTGATGGGGATTAGATCTGAGCCAATTTGCTTCAAAAAGCGAAAGTGTTAGCCAACATCAGCTTTGTCTGGGTTTCAGTCACTTGTCAGCCTGGCAAGTGACTTGAGACAGTAGCGCTCGTCTCTGAGTCAGAAGGTTGTGGGTTCAAGCCCCACTTCGGGATTTGGAATCACATAGCCTAAGCTGATGCTCCAATGCCACACTGGGGTTGTGTTTCATTGTTGGAGGTGCTACCTTTCAGATGAGATGTTAAACTGAGGTCCCGTCTGCTTGCTCAAGTGGATGTTAAAGGTCCTGTTTTGCTATTTGAAAGGAGAAGGGAGTTTCTCTCTCCTGGTGTTCCGGTCAACAATCCCCTAAATAAAATTGGTCACTCACATCACGGCTGTGTGCATAACCTTAAGATTAGGGCTAGGCCATTTAGGAGTGAAATCAGGTGTAAGTAAGAACCCGGTTGTTAGTCGATTGGTGGATTGCTTTCCGGGGGTAATAATCCATCAAAAAAAAATGTGGTCACTCAATCCATGACTGTTTGTGGGACGCTGCTGTGTGCAATTGGCTGCTGCGTTTCGCCCACAAAATACACAGTCAATTCACTTTACAATATATTCTGTGATGTGCTTTGCGATGTCTCAACGATGTGATTAGGCCAAATCAAATGAAAAGATTATTTTTATCATTAAATGCATTAGAAGCGACTCGGTGCTATAGTGAAGCACCTTATAGCAGAGTTGCACTTAATACTGATAAAATCAGTGGCTCTGCATGCCTTTCTGGTCAGTGCTGGTCACTTTCTCCTCCAGCTTGAACACAAGGCTTAGTGAGTGACGCAGCAATCTCTGCGACAGATGTTTGTCCAGATGTGCAATTTGTCGGAGGGCTCAAAAGAAAAACAATTCTCACTCCAAATACATTTTTGAGAAGTGGTAATAAATATTATAATTAAGAGGCGTTTTTAAATTTAAAAATACACCAAAATAATCTTTTTGTTGCAGTTGCCTGTAATCCACACATTATTTATGATTCCAATCAGCACAGTATTGATTCTCAATCCGTGTTAGCCTCGGTCCATTCCTAACGAAATACTAACAGCCATTGATTGCGACAGTGTACCTAATAACTCAAAGTCATCCGATCTGAACAAGCTCTTCTGTTCCTCAGCGTGGATTTAACAGTTGATAATATAGTTGCTTTGCCTCCCTTATTAAGTACAGCTATGCATGTATTTGATGCTGTTCTTTATATCAGTGCTAGGTTACCCTGAGATGACAGGCATTAACCAGAAGGACTCATAGGTGACCATTTTGTTGCATTCAAATCACGCTGCGATGTTAAATATAGAATATCTGCAGCTACTCTCTGCTATTCTTAGCTGCTTTCTCCCCAGTGTAATCTCCCAGTTTAAAAGTCAGGCTGCTATTTCAGGAAACACATTATTCAAACGTGTGTGGCTGCTGCCCCAGCAGCGTCAACGTTGTGTGAGATTATAATGAATGCCCCCATTGCCGCCATGTTCAGGAACAAAGCATCGATCTTCATTTTGCTTGTAATTTGTCAAGATGTTTGCTCTGGTAGCACAGGCTATCAGCCATGTCCTGCTAGCCCAGCAAAGCATTGGGAGCAGTCGTCGCAAAAAGCGACATAGGACAAGGATTGTATTGCTTCCGAACTTCATCAATCTTAATCATTTCGTCCACAAAGATACACGGCCAATCCACTTTACAGTGTGTCGTGTGAAGCGCTTTGAGACGTCTCAACAACGAGATAAAATGCTATATCCAATGCAAGGATAATTATTACTATTATTATAATCCTCCCATTTGATATAACATCTCATAACGTTGAAACATCTCAGAGTGGGCACAGAGTTTTCTGTAAAGTGTAGTAACCTGTACATTATTGGAGAACGTAGCAACTAATTTGCGCACAGCAGAAACCCACAAACAGCCGTAAAGTGAATGACTCTTTTTTTCTCTCTGGAAGATCAGAGGAACAAAAATAATATAATAATCCTTGCATTTGATATAGCGCTCTATCACGTCATTGAACGCTTCACAAAATATGCTGTAAAGTAAATTGACTGTATATTTTGTGGGTGAAACCAATTGCGCACAGCAGCGTCCCACAAACAGTCATGGATTGAGTGACCATTTGTTTTTGGAAGGGGGATGGATTATTACCCCCGGAAAAGCCATTTTTTAAAGAAAGAGGAACAGGGGGAATGAGATAGAGTTTGTTAGAGTGGCACTGTATTTTGGACAGTGATGAGGTTTAAGTTTCGCTCAATGACTTTCTGTGTTTGGATCAGAAGTTGGCTCCGTTGAGTCATCTGTTTCATTAATTTATAGTCCTCCATTTTATAACGTACTGGTGCCAAGCGTTGAATTGTTGGCTGGTCTGTGAAATAGAATCTCACAGAATAAGCTGCACCATAGATCTTACTATATCTATCAAAGGCAACCAGCTGGATACACACATTTTAACACTCTTCAATAAATTCTCAGTTGAATGATTTCCCTCGTCTGCGTCCTGTGGAAGTATATAATGTACGATTGCTTTTTGGCACTGTGCCTCTTGAAAAATATATCTTTGTGACTTGGTCTGACATGAGAAAATCTGCGTTTTCCAGCAATTTTGCCTTTTCATTGTCAACAGTCTTGTGGAATGTGATGTTCCAGGCTCCTGTGGCTGTGCTTGGAGGCAAATATCTATGAATCCTGTTAACAAACATCATGGTCTGATTCTAACCCTCGTCCCTTCCTCACAGTGATGCTGCTCAGATCAGGAGCTGGGAAACACGAGGATTATTAGCAAACATAATGGTGCCTTTAACTCCAGCTCCTTCCCCCAATAAGTGTGAGGTGGTGGGGGTGAGGACCTCAAACCAAAATTCTATCTCTTTGACCGCGGCTATGGTGACCTCCCCCTCCTTGGCGTCCAACTCCACCACTGTGAAATGACCCCACTTCTTGTGGGAGTACTATTCAAGTCGCCGCTTGTGCTTTGTGAGCAATGCACAGGAAGTGAAGGCCAGGGTGGCCTTGCCACCCAGAATAAAAATCATCCTGTCCCCCCCCCAAAAGGTAATTAAACATCAATATTATCTGTCAATTTTTTTTAATGAAACTGTAATCCTCCAGCAATGACTGAATTGGGAACCAACCTGTAATAGCCTCACGTTTGGCAGTTCCTTATGGAAGTGCTTGCATTAACAATAACAGCAACAACAACAACAAATTATATTTGTACAGCGCCTTTCACGTCAGGAGGATGTCCCAAGGCGCTGAACAGTTAGGGATCCACACCTGAGCTGGTGGTTGGGATCAGGAGGGGTGGAGGTACAGGTAAGAAGGTGACCGAAGGCACAACTGAAGAGGAGGATCTTGAGATGGGTCTTGAAGGAGGCAAGGTAGGGGAGTGAGGCAGAGGGACTGTGAGATGGAGTTCCAGAGGGTGGGGGCAGAGAGGATGAAGGCCCTCCCACCAATGGCAGGGTGGGCAAGGTGTGGGACGTCAAGCAGGCCGGAGCCCATTGAGCGGAGGGAGTGGAAAGGTTGGTAGGGAAATAGGAGGCCACAGGTAGTTAGGAACGAGGCTCTGGAGGGCTTTGAAGGTGAGGTTAGAAGGAAGCTGCCTCAGCAATAGAAACAACTTTCTCCTCCTCACTGAGACCATAGAAGTGCACAATAAGTCGCTTGTCAAAATATAATTAATTTGAACCAAAGTGACCAGCCCAGAGAACCCGGGACAAATAACCTGGTGCTTACTCCTTCCGAGGCTTGAGTATGACAGGCTCCTACTCCAGAACCTCAGTCTCTGTGATAATACGTGGCGTTCATCCTGGAACAGAAATAATAATCCTTGCATTTGATACAGCGCCTCAATACAATGTCGAGATGTCTCAAAGCGTTTTGCAGGATATTACTGTAAAGTGTAGTGACTGTGTATTTAACCGTTGAAACAATTTTTTTTTATTTTCGTTCTCTTCCCACAGCAAACTGCCGAGCTGGGCCAGGGCTGTGGTGCCTCGGATATTTTATATCACAGAGAAGGCCTGGAATTATTATCCCTACACCATCACAGGTAAGAGGACAGCTGAATCTTCACCTTTGTTGTTGTTTCACAATGGAAATCATTGAGGTGGAGATGTGTGTACCTCCTCAACCTCAGGCAGATTTCACAGGGTCTTTTTTGGGGGGAAGAAAGGATATTTACTCCAATTCTTATTTGTACATAGATTTTGAAGTTTTTTTTAATGGAAACTCCTCCATTTTACACTTGATTACACCATTTTAATACCCAATACAGACATGAACTTACGCACGTGAACATTCCCACATTAGAAACAGTGTCTCTTTGACAGGAGGCAAACCTTTTTGATTTTGATGCTCTTCAAAATCTCCTGGAAACAACTACAACAAATTACATTTGTAGAGCGGCTTTCACGTCGGGAGGACGTCCCAAAGCGCTGGATAGTCAAGAAACATTCTTATTCTTCACGTTACTGCCTTTCTAATGCTCTCTCAGGTGGGAGAAAGTGCAAGAATTGGATGTGCCAGAGGGTGCTAAAGGTTTTGTCAAGTTCAGCATGAAAGGCAACGAAAGGTTCCCCGTGTACTGGCCGCCAGAGTCATTTAACAAACAGCTCGACGGTCGGGTGGGTGTTCAAGAAGGTTGAGATCAAATGGGCCAAATGGCCTTCTTGATCTGACTGTTTCTTGTGATCTTGTATGTTCAGTTAGAGTTGAGACCTCCTGCTGGTTATTCAGTGTAATGGGGATTTGGACAAGTGGGGATTTTAACCCTGGGTTTGCAGCCCGAGTTGAGTTCTCGTTTTCTGAGGTGAGCTGCCGAATTTTGCCTGGTTCCTGCTCACGGCTCCCCTACAGGGGTTGCACCCCTCACAGTCAAACTGTTCCCTTTCTTTCCGATCGAGCCGCAATTCAAGAGCTCCACCTGACAGCCTGTCTGAGAAAAGCCAAAACCGTTCACTTCTGCTGAGACTCAGACTTCACCTCTTGGCCTGGCCTTCAAAGGGAGATACAAGTTGCCTGTTTTGTCTGGATAATTTCTCATATTATGGCTGATCCTTCCATCCTATCTCACGCCACAGACCATCACTGGATTCAGTGGGAGTGGAGGGGTGTAGGGGGAGGGATGGAGGGAATGGGGAAGTCAATCACTGTGCCGTGCTGTGAACTGATCACCCCTACTGATGAGTTGAAGGAAATGATAATCTTCATTTGTTCGCTCGTTGGAAAAAAGTGTAGAACCCCAGACGTCAACGACAGCTGAATTTTGTACCGTTTAACTCAGGTTGTGTGTGTCGTGCGGAGACGGGGAGGATGGTTCCTCTCTTTAAGCTGCATTGCTGGAATAAGAATCGAGATTGATGCCTTGTGTGGACAGAGCTGCCAGGCAACAGATTTTGTTCTCTATTCATGAAAGACCGCAGCATGCTTTAGGTGCTGAGTGAAGTCTCCAATGTAGATTACTTAACCGAATGCCTTCAGAATTAACACCTTCTGGAGTGTGCAATCGAGGGGGTAGGGTGTTGCTTTAATTATTGTCATTAATTTTTTTTCCATTTCTCTTTCTTTAATGCATCACCTCCCATTCGTCCTGCGAATGCAGAATACACAGTAAGTACTTTCAGGCTTCATGTTGCGCTATTTTCTGAGTAATTTATGGATGGAATATGAATGCTGATGGTGATGAAATTTCCGGTCGGCATTGGCAGTGTTGGCCTTTAGTGGCATTTCCTCATTCTAATAGGTATCTTTACATTTGATCTGGCACTTTTCACATCAGGAGGACATCGCAAAGCAGCTCTCAGGATACACTGTAAAGGGTAGTGACTGTATTTTCACACAGTAGAATCACACATCACCGCAGGTGTAGCACAAACACACAACAGAAAATATACGTTGTGATAAATTCACTAAAATTCAATGAAGACATACCAGCTTGTATCACTTAATAATAATGATTGTTATTAATAATAATAATAATGCATTTGATACCGCACCTTTCATGACAGGAGGTCATCTCAAAGGTGCACAGGATTTTCTATTAAGTGGAGTGACTGTTTTGTAGACGAACATGGTATCCAATGCACAGCAACATCCCACCAACATCCATGAAGTAATGACCAATTTCCATCTTGGGGAATGTTGGCCAGGAGCCTGGAAGAAACACTTTCTTTGTTTTGAATTTTTGAAACTCCCTTATTTTTTTTAATAGAATAGATGTACTCCCATGAGATCTTTAGGCATCTAATAATAATAATAATCCCAATAATTTGATATAGCGCCTTAACACGTCGTCAAGAAGTCTCAAAGCGCTTCGCAGAATATACTGTAAAGTGTAGTGACTGTGCCTTTGCTTGGTGTCCAGGCGATCAAACACTTTATCGCAACTTCATAGCTCAGTGCGTTCACACACACACACACTCAGTAGGAAGCGGGTGCCACTTCAACCTGACAAATTCACACCTGAACTAACAAAGGAGACAAAAAATGGAGTGTTTGAAGGGTAATATATAATGGCTGTTGGATTTATAATAATTGTTCATTTGATACTGCATCAAGATTTCTGAAAGCACTTCGTAGGATTTGATTATGAAGTGTAGTGACTGTATATTTGTGGTCAAATGCAGCAGCCAATTTGCACACAGTAATGTCCCACAAACAGCCATGAAGTGAATGACCAGGTTTATTCGATTGATCACTGATGACAACAGAGGGTTTAAGGATTTGATAATCCGGTGAGCAGCCGAGCAATGAGCCATTGCTTCCTCTGGGCCTGAGGAAAGCAATAGGTGGGTTAGCATTAGCTATTGAACCCCCCCACCCCCATCCCACATTGCATGAGACCACTACTCTGTGAGATCTACTGTGTGAGATCTCTACAACAACAACAAGATTACAACAACGACGACAACTTGGATTTATATAGCGCCCTCCACGCCGGACGGCGTCTCAGAGCGCTTTACAGTAACGGATCCCGGGACCGAGCCGGGGGGAGGAGGAGGGGCCAGGGGGAGGGGCCAGGGGGAGGGGGGCCAGGGGGAGGGGACGGAAGGTGACCAAAAGCGCGGTCAAAAAGAAAGATCTTCAGCAGAGACCTGAAAATGGGAAGAGAGGAGATGAGACGAAGGGAGTGAGGAAGGGAGTTCCAGAGTCTTGGGGCATAGTGCCTGAAGGCACAGCCGCCGAGGGTGGAGCAGAGGACTCGGGGGATGAGGAGGTGGCCAGACCCGGAGGAACTTTGTATTGCGCCTTTCATGTCGGGAGGACGTCCCAAGGTGCTGGACAGTGTACAGCATTTCAGACCCGAGCTGGGGTCAGGGAGGGAGAAGGGAGGGGAGGGGAGGGAGGGGTGGCCGATGGCATGTTCAAAGAGGAGTTTCTTGAGGCGGGACCTGAAGGAGGCTAAGGAGGGGGCAAGGTGGAGTGATTGGGGGATGGAATTCCAGCTCCCGATGAACAGACTCAGCCGTGTGACATTCAGACACTCTAACCAGCACACAACAATCTTTTCCACTGATGAGGGGTAATTATAATAATAATAATCTTTTCAATTGATATTGCTTCTTATTACGTCGTTGAGCAGTCTCAAACAACAACAACAACAAGATTACATTTGAATAGCGCCTTTCATGTCGGGAGGACGTCAGAAGGCACTGGACAGAGAACAGCATTCAGACCCGAGCTGGAGTTGGGGATGGAGGGGAGGGGAAGGGGGGTGGCCGATGGCACGGTCAAAGAGGAGGGTCTTGAGGCGGGACTTGAAGGAGGCTAAGGAGGGGACGAGGCAAAGTGATTGGGGGATGGAATTCCAGAGGTTGGGGGCAGAGTGGCTGAAGGCTCTCCCACCAATGGTGGGGCGGGGGACGTGGAGCAGCCAGAGCCGGCTGAGCGAAGGGAGTGGGCGGATTGGTAGAGGGTTAGGAGTTCGCAGAGGTAGGGTGGGGTGAGTCCATGGAGGGCTTTGTAGGTGAGGACCAGCATCTTGAACTGGATCCTCTGAAGGATAGGGAGCCAGCGGAGTCGGGTGAGAATGGGGGAGATGGGGTCACGGAGTTTGGTGCGGGAGAGGACACGGGCTGCAGAGTTCTGGATTATCTGCAGCCTGTGGAGGGAGGAGTTGGGAAGGCCGACAAGCAGGACGTTTGCATAGTTGAGCCTGGAGGTAATGAAGACATGAACAAGAGTTTCAGCGGCCTGAGCGGTGAGGTAGTGGCAGAGTCGGGCAATGTTACGGAAGTGAGGAAAGTCAGAGCGGGTCATGGCTTGGATGTGGGGAAGAAAAGACAGCTAGTCTGTGAGACCACTACTCTTGTGAGACCACACATCAGCCTTTGATCCTGCTTCATCACATCCACATTCGACCCTGTCTCATGATCTTGTGATCTGGATGTACGGAAATCTGCGAGCGATTGCGAGGTGGAAGGAACCTGAGCTGGCTGAATTTCCCTTCAAAGCAAAGTTTATCAATGCTTGCTTGTTTCATTCCCTAGTTTTCCATAGTGCTTCCTTTGATATTGAATGATCTAATAACTCACTAATCAGGAAAATGCAACCAGAAACCCTCGACCAACAGAAATGCGCTTTATAAATGTAAATTGTATTGTATTTGCACATGAAGTGTCCTGCACTGTGTGGGAGGAACGAGGAATTATTGAGGATGTGTCAGAAGTTTTTTTTGGTCGATTAGTGTAAAAATCCAATATCTGCTCTTTGTGTATTGTAACAGAGACTCGAGATGGATTTATTTCGGGAAGTTAAAGTAATTTCTGAGGATGTGCAGGATTTGAAATTGCATCCTTCTAGCATGAAAGCAAATACTTAGTTTTTCCACTCTCGACTAATGTTTATTTGAGGTACTTCATAATATTAGGAATCCTCAGTTTGATAGAACACCTAATCTCATCGGTGAGATGTCTCAATGTGATTTTCTGTGAAGTGTAGTGACTGTGTATTTTGTAGGTGAACGCAGCAGCCCATATACCCACAGCAATGTCCCACAGCAGCCGTGAAGTGAGTGATACATTTTATCTGGGATTTGTTGGCCAGAACACCGGGAAAAATTGTTTCTTTTTCGAATAGTGCCATGGGATTTTTAACGTCCACTTAACCAAGGATAGATGTGGGACCTTGGTTTAATTGGCAGTTGGGTCTTCAGACTCTCTATGCCCCACCCTTTGGAATTGCTTCCCACAGTCCCTTCGCCTTGCCCCCTCCCTTGCTTCCTTCAAGGTCCGTCTCAAGACCCTCCTCTTCAACTGTACCTTCAATCACCTTGCTACGCCCATCCTCCTTGCCTCCACCCCTTCTGATCCCAACCCCCAGCTCGGGTCCAAATCCTTGATGTTCCAGTGCCTTGGGACATCATCATGACGTGAAAGGTGCTATAGAAATGTACTTTGTTGTTGTTGGGAGGGAGGGAGGGAGGAGGGATGCCTCTGCCTAGTTCACCAATCACTTCATACTACACCAGTTCTGCTATTGCCTCCTGAGGAGTTACAACAGTTCACTTAATTTTTCTTCACATTTTCCGAAACTGACAAAAAAAAACCTGGCAAGATAGCCTACTGCTCAGTGCAATATGGTAAACCTGGGTCAGTTTGTGTTCTTAAACTCATAATTGGAATAAAACCCCCACGATTCTATCACATTTTCCACAAGAGATAAAATATACAGTGCGAAAAGGCACTGTGGGCTTTTATTTTAGGAAAATATCAGCACTTAATTGAGCATAAAGAGTATGCTGAAAGGGTCATTATTTAATTGCTTCTTCTATATGTTGAGATATTGCAGATTACAACAACAACTTGCATTTATATAGCATCCTTCATGCGAGGTAGTGCTCTGAGACACCGCTCAGCGTGGAGGGCGCTATATAAGCGCAAGTTGTTGTTGTTGTTGGCAGCATCCCAGAGAGCTTGACAGTGACAAAGTCTGACCCCGAGCCCGGGGGAGAGGGAGGGGAAGATGACCGTAGGCACGATCAAAAAGGAAGGTCTTTAGACGGGTTTGAAAGTGGGGAGGGAGGGGTCAAGGTGGAGGGATTGAGGGAGAGATAATATGTGATAAGATGCTATATCAAATGCAAGGATTATTATTATTATTATTACTACATCTTCATAACCTCAGCTTTCTCTTTGACCGAGCCTTCAGCTCCCCTCTCGACTCTCTTCCCCCTCCTCGCTCCCTCCCTTCCCTCCCCTCACCCTGACCATTTCCCCCTCCTCGCTCCCTCCCTTCCCTCCTTCCCTCACCCTGACCATTTCCCCCTCCTCGCTCCCTCCCCTCCCCTCACCCTGACCATTTCCCCCCTCCTCGCTCCCTCCCCTCCCCTCACCCTGACCATTTCCCCCCTCCTCGCTCCCTCCCTCCCCTCACCCTGACCATTTCCCCCATGCTCGGGTCCTGACCCAACTGTGCAGCGCCTTGGGACGTCCTCCCAAATGGAATCTTGTTGTTGTTGTTGTTGTTTTACTGTCTCAGTTCTGATTTGAAGGCTCTTGTGATCTTGTGATTGGTCACCAGTGGCTGATTATCATTGACTGGTCTGTAAGATTTCAACTTGGGGAATGTATGTGTGAGAAGAGCAAGAAAAAGAACCTCAGAACTAAACTTTATTCCGCTGTCATTGTATTTTGGGGATTAACTTCTTGAATTTGCTAGCGCTCTGAGACCCTGCCCTGCGTGAGGGACGCTAGATAATGTTTTGCCCACAAAATATACAGTCAATTCACTGTACAGTACTTCTGTGAAGCACTTTTGAGACGTCTCAAAAACATGATAAGGCGCTATATCAAATGCACAGATTATTATTATTATTAAGTTGTTGATTGACAGAAATCTCTCTGTGTTAAATTGTCTCCCCCACTCTCCTTCCTCCTCCCGGCCCCCCCCATGTCTCCTGTGCATGAGACTTAATGAACATTTCACAAACTCCCCCAGGAGATAAATATTTTATTAAAATAGCAAAAATTAAGATTTTGGAAACGCACAGCTTGAAGAAAATTTCCTTTAAAACATTTAAATCTTTCTAACCCTAAAGGAGTTGCACTATTTCCTCACTTAGTTTAATTTCGTTTTTCGATAACTTGTGATATCTGAGTAGGGAACCGCAAATCTCGCTTTGAATCTCACACAAAATTAATAGCATAGAAGGAGGCCATTTAGCCCATCGAGTCTGTCTGTGCAATCCCCCTGCTCGCTTCCTATGCTCTTTGATGCCCCAACCTACCTCTGTGATCTCCTCCAACTACACTGTCCCGGCTGTTTCCTTTGCTTAGTGATTGCTGCCCTGCTCCATGTCCCCTCTTCCTGTCCGCCCTATCATTGGCAGGCGGGCGTCCAGCCTTATTGTCCCACTTTCTGTAACTCCTTCCTGGAGTCCGTCCGGCCCTCCTTTCCTCCTTCCTTCCTTCCTTCCTTCCTTCCTTCCTTCCTTCCCTCCCCCTCTCTCTCTATCCCTCCCTCCCTCTCTCCCTCCCTCTATCAATATCTGTCTGAAAACGTGCCTTTTGACCGTGCTTTCGGTCATCTTTCCCCTCCCTCCCACGACCCCAACCTCAGCCCGAGTGCCGACAACAACACCCGACATAAACATCTTGCATTTATATAGCGCCCTTCACGTGGGGTAGCGGCCCGGAGCGCTTGACAGTGAAGGAGTCAGACCCTGAGCCAGGTGGAGTGGGAGGGGGCAGGTGACCGTAAGCACGGTCAAAAAGCTAGGTCTTTAGGCGGGAATTGAAAGTGCGGAGGGATGGGGCAAGGCAGAGGGATTGAGGGAGAGAGATTCAGAGTATCGGGGCATAGCGGCTGAAAGCACGGACACTGATTGTGGAGCTCTGTGAAGCGCTTTGAAACGCCCTCCGGATATGAAAGGAGTTATATAAATGTAAATCGTATTGTAATATTCTTTTTCTCTCGAGTATTTCACCAGGTCACATTTGTATGCTGTTATAGATTTGGCCTCAACAGCCATTTGTCTTAAAGCTCTACATTTAAACAACCTTCCGTGTGTGTAAAAAAAGCTTTAATGGACTGCACACCTATTCCCCCCATTGATAACAAGTACCATCTACACTAACCATGTAGCAGTGCTCTGTAAAATAGACAAGTTTGATTCGTCTTTAACAGCTATTTAAAACTGTTCGAAAAAGAGAAGTTTCTCCTGGTGTTCATCCTGGCCATTAATCTCTAGGAAAATGGGTTGTTTGTTTCATGGCTATGTGTGAATGAGACCTTGTCTGCTAAGCTTGCCTACAAATACACAGTCACTACACTCGACAGCAATTCCCTGTGAAGCTCTTTGAGACGCCTCGACATTAATAGTGTTGCATCAAATGCAGGGATTGCTATTCGTGTTGTGTTGTTATTTAAATTTGGAAACCAACAGCTGACGTGGGTATCTGTACCTTCTGATTGTCATGCGTGTCCACACTCTCGCTGTTCAAGCCGCGTCTTCTGCTGAAAACAAAGTTAATTGGACTAAACTAGATGAACTACGTGCTGAGCAACACTGATTTTGAATCTCACAGGATAATATAGTCCTGAGTAAAAACCTGACTTGAATGTAACTGCATAGTGTATCAATTCTCACCCACATACGAGTTTCCAATGCAATGGCTTGGGTTTCATTCTGTTTAATTTGATCTGTCACTGACTTGTTTTCTATACCTTTTCCCATCAGTGCTCCTTTTTGCCAAAATTCTCCATCTACATCGAGACAAAGTATGAAGACAACAATGGAGCCAGTGACCATGTAAGTGGATTTGTTAGACCACTTTGCACCGCCAGTGACTGGACACATTTATTTTATAACAGCAACTTTGCTTTCCTCTATAAATAGCACGTGGCTAGTTAGAGATATACCTGCAATTAATTAATGCATTCGGAAGATATCCGGGTTGCTCTGTGCCTCAGATAGAGTTACGTACAATATTACAACAACAACAAGATTACATTTGTATAGTGCCTTTCATGTCGGGAGGACGTCCCAAGGCGCTGAAACAGTGTTTCTACTCCACACGCTCCATAAGGTCCCTTTCTCAAGACCCTCATCTTCGACCACCCTCCAACCCCCACTCTTGCTACCTTCCACCCCTTCTGATCCCAACCCACAGCTCAGCTGTAAACCCTAGACTATCCAGCGCCTTGGAAGGTCTTCCCGGGATGAAAGGCACTACACAAATGTAATTTGTTGTTGTTGTCCGCTCTCAGACATCTCCTCTCAAGATTGAATCTGGTAGTAACTGAGTTGAAGCAAGGACTCCTCATCATTTACCATGTTCCTTTTCTGTTCCTGCAGATTTTTGACCCCGTTAAAAACCATACAGACCACGAGGTGTGTTTCCTAGACATTGCTTACGATGAAATTCCTGACCGTTACTACAAGATGTCAGAGGTGAGTGGCCCTCAGCAGCCTTCACAGCAGAACAACGCAACACTGGCACGGCTTTCCGCACTCTAAATAAATAATAATTCCTGCATTATTATTAAGCAAACACAGCAGTGAATTTGCAGACAGAAATGCCTGCCCAGAGAGCCATGAAGTGAGTGGTCACTTTTATCTGGGCTATTGTTGGCTAGGAAACCAGGAAACCTCCCTTCACATTTTGAATAGTGTCATGGGATCTTTACAGTTCTGAAAGTCAGATGGGATCTCGGTTTAATAAGTTCCCACAGCACTGCCCTGGATTGTCAGCCTGGACTGTAAGCTCAAAGTCCCAACGTGGGGCTTGAATCTTATAACAGAACGGTCTCACGGGCTGAGATTAGAAGCGATTTCAGGTCTCTCTGTTGTCTAAATGCTTATTCAGTTGTAAAAACTCCAATTATCCTTCCTTCTGAATGATTAATTGGGATCTTGTTGTTGGATGATTTAAACGTTGCCCAAATATGAAGCACTTTTTAATACGGTTAAAGTTGGCATTTGATATTCAGTTCAGTATCTTGTTGCTGACAGGACCTCAGGTACTTTGCATCAGTGAAGACAGGTCGTGGGCCACTGAAGGAGCTCTGGAGAGAGGAGTTCACGCCAGTCATGTGTTCGTACAAACAAGTCACCGTCAAGTTTGAGGTCTGGGGACTTCAGACTAGAGTTGAGCAGTTTGTTCAGAAGGTGAGTGTCAGGAACAATACTACTAATAACACGGTGATACAATAATAACCATAAACAATCAGAATCATCTTTGCATTTGACGTAGAGTCTACAACATCTATAACTGCTTTGGCAGTTTCTGTGAAGTGTAGTGACTGTGTATTTGTAGGTGAACGCAGCAGTTAATTTGCGCACAACAGTTTCCCACAAACAGCCATGAAGTGAATCACCCAATTTTATCTGGGAGGTTGTTGGCCTCCCAGGACACTGGGAGAAACTCCCACTTCTTTTCAAATAGTGCCAAGGAATCTTTAACACCCACCGATAGGACCTTGGTTTAACATCTCATCCTTAAGGGTGTCACCTCCGCCAATGCAGTGCACCCCCAGCTGTTTATGAAATGTAGTTCATAGATTCATTGAAGGTACATCTTAGAAACAAGAAATTCGTCCCGTTCCCTATGACTGGTGATTATCCTTCACCCGAGGGCATCTCCGAGATCGTATCCTTAGTTCCATAACCCGGCTTGTAATGGATGGGAAACATGTTCCTTAGAAGATTTGCCTTAATTAATTACAGAAGGCTGGCTGGCACAGTGGGACAGAACTGTCATCCCAGTCATTGGACAGACATGTTCTCCCTCTGCCAGCTGCAGAGCCTTCAGTTTGTAGCTTCAGTGGAAGTCCTCAGTGTGATGTGGTACCAGCGTCCAAGGGAGATATGTGGCTGGAGGCAATTTTGATACCGTAAATTGTTTAATTGTTTCCTCAATTATCTAACCTTCCATCTCAGGCAAAGAGGCCGAGGGAGAGAAATTCTTCCTGCCACTAGATTTAAACTCTTATCATAGCATTTCGGAGAGAGCAACATTTCATATCATTCTTTTATCCAGTCTAACAGACAGTCATAAAGTGAATGACCATTTTTTTTTATCTGGGGTTTTTGGCCAGGACCCTGAGAGAAATATCTCTTTTTGAATAGTGCCTTAAGGTTCTTAACGTCCAATTGAACAGGCAGTCAGGATCGTGGTTTAAAATCTCACCCGATGAATGGCATTTCCGACAATGCAACACCTCCTAGCACTGTCTTGGGGTGTCAGGCTAGATTAGCTGATCCCAACATGAGGCTTGAACCCACAACCTCCTGATGCGGAGGAGAGAGTGCTACTAACTGAGCCAGGATGACGGAAAAGTTCACAAACTGATGACCCAGAAACTTTATTGCATGTCACCTCTTCAGGACAGAGAAACGTGTGGTTAAATGTTACAAATGAAAGATGGTGATGGGCTCCATTCAGCTCCAGGTGACCCCTGTCCTGGAGTCTTCCATTGACTGGCTGATTGTGCTCTGTGAGAGATAGCTTTTCAGCCGCCATGTAGATTCCTGCTTTTAATCATTTCCACTCAGCTTCTCCCACGCTTTGAGACGTGTGTATTAATCTTTCAAAGAATGCTCGAAGCAAGGTCCCACAGTATGTCATGACAAGCTGGTAGGCTGCAGCACTTTATTCAAGGGGATTAGGTGAACAGTGATAAATACGCTGACTAAAAAAAGCTGCTTTCACAGCCACGTGTGACCGGTTGGAAACAGCAAGAATAGAAATCCAGCCATTGTGAGCTGGTCCAAAGACTTTATCCTATGCAAAGGGCACTCTACAAATACAACTTTATGTAAAGAGCGGGTGGGATGGAGGGGATAAGGAGCAGGGATAAGGCCAAGAGAGTTCCAGAAGAGAGAGGCAACGTGCCCGAAGGCTCAGCCACTGATGCTAGCTCGGAGCGGACAGTGTTAGCTGAGCTAAGGGTGGGGGCGAGGGGGGAGCCAGAGGAATATATTAGGTGGCAGATCGGAGAGATAAGCTATGGAGGGATTTATATGTGACGGTGAGGTTTTTGAAGTCAGTCCATTTGGAGGCAAGGAGACAGTGGAAGATTGGGGTGGTGGGTGTTATGGTGTTTGGTGTGTCTAATCTGAAAGACGGCACCCCCAGTACTGCACCGCACTGCACTGAGCTCAAAAACCAATGCCAACCTTGTGACTCAAAAAAGGGGAGTGCTACCAACACGAGCTCCAAATGCACCACTTCCCAGGTTGATGACGTATTGCACAGGGTGGGGAAGGAGTCAACAAAGTAAAATGTTGCTGCTGAACTGTTTTATCCGTCATCTAAACGCAAGCTTTCATTGAAGGGAAAAGTTCAATTTTTAGCAAGAAATCTTCACTGGTACAAAACTTTTTTAAAATTGTTATGATAAAACAGAAAGCAACTTGCATTTGATACAGCATAACATCGGAACATCTCAAAGTGCGTTAAGGCAGTGACTGCTGAGTGTAGTGACTGTGTTTGGAAAAAAAACACCGCAGCCAATTTGCACATGGCATTGTCCCAGAAACAGCCGTGGAGTGAATAACTGATTTTATCTGGGGTCTTGTTGGCCAGGAAAGAAGGAGAAACTCCCTTCTCTTTTCAAATAGTGCCATGGGATTTCTAATGTCCACCTGAACAGGAAGATGATCCATTTAATTCCAGGTTTGGGCTATTTTATTTTCCCCTTTTCCTCTCTAATTTGCCACTCATTCTGTGATGATCTGGTTAACACATCCCATGGAAAGTGACTGACTTCAGCAGTGCCTCCAAGGGGTGAAGCAGTGAGACACAATGTTAGTGCTGATCTCACAACCCGAATGTTGACCATTTCTCCCACGTAAAAAAATTGTTCAAAATCAAAAAAGTCAAATAAATGTTAATATGAACTAGCAATTTTTTAAAAAAAACTTGATATTCAGCAATTCGGATTTAGTTACAAATAGTGTATAAAGTATATGAACATTGGGAAGAGTTGAGAATTCTAACATGGAATTGTAACTGGAATCTGAGTTTTCTTTTGATCAGCTGGGTGTCTGACACAAGCGGAAACCCATTCACCGTGCTTAAGAGTATCCAAGTCAAGCTGAGATTTCCGTACATCCCACATACACATGGAAATCCCAGAGATAAATTGTTGAATTGGAATGCATGCTCTCTCCCTTGAGGAATGGATCCTGCTTACTTAATTCCGGCAAATATAGGTTGGCAGAAGCCGAGGTTTGGGAACCCCAGAGGGTATTGCTAGAATCTAACCGGCCAAAAATTACATAGCTTGTCATTGATAGCACTGTCTGGCAAGCTTTCTCACTACTTGTCCAACAACAACAACAAAATTACATTTGTAGAGCACCTTTCACGTTGGGAGGATGTCCTAAGGAGCTGAACAGTCGGGATCAGTACCAGAGCTTGGGGGTGCAGAACCTGGGCGGGAGAGGACATGAGCTGCAGAGTTCTGGATGATCTGCAGCTTGTGGAGGGAAGAGTTGGGGAGGCCGACAAGGAGGGAGTTTCCGTTGTCAAGCCTTGAGTTGACATATGCATGTGTGAGGGTTTTGGCAGCCTGAGACGTGAGACAATGGCGGAGTCGGGCCATGTTGCGGAGGTGGGGAAGGCAGAGCGGGTCATGACATGGATATGGGGGAGAAGGAATAGTTGAGGGTCGAACAAGATGCCTAGATCCCTGACTGACTTGGTGAGGTGGAGTGTGCATCCGTGGATGGTGATGCAGCCAGTGCCTGAGGTGCGGAGGTGCTGGCATGAGGAGGAGGGCCTCGGATTTGCTGACGTTCAGCTGTATAAAGTTGGCTCTCATCCAGGACTTAATGTCAGACAGATAATCTGTCAGAACGTCAGTTGTCCTGGAATCGAGGGTGGAAGTTGACCCTGTATCTGCGGATGATGTCACCAAGAGGGAGCATGTAGAGGTTGAAGAGGAGGGCACCGAGGACAGAACCCTGAGGACGTATAGGAGCATAGGAATTAGGAGCAGGAGTAGGACATTCGGCCCCTCGAGCCTGTCCCGCCATTCAATAAGATCATGGCTGACCTTCCAATTTAACTCCATCTGCCCGCCTTATCCCCATATCCCTTAATCCCTCTATCCTTTAGAAACCTATCAATCTCAGTCTTGAACATGTTCAAGGACTGATCATCTACAGCCTTCTGGGGTAGAGAATTCCATAAATTCACTACCCTCTGAGTGAAGAAGTGTTTCCTCAACTCTGTTTGAAAAGGCTGACCCTTAATCTTAAGGCTGTGACCCCTATTTTAGATTCTCCAACCAGGGGAAACAGTCTCACACTGTCCACCCTGTCAAGCCCCATAAGAATCTTATATGTTTCTATAAGATCACCCCTAATTCTTCTAAATTCTAGCAAATATAGGCCTAGTTTACTCAACCTCTCCTCGTAGGCCAACCCCCTCATCCCAGGAATTAACCTGGTGAATCTACACTGCACCTCCTTTAAGGTGAGTATGTCCTGTCTTTAATAAGGAGACCAAAACTGCACACAATACTCTAGGTGCGGTCTCACCAAGGCCTTATACAGTTGCAGCAAGACTTCCCTATTCTTGTATTCTAACCCTTTTGCTATAAACACCAACATGCCATTAGCCTTCCTAGTTGCTGCTGTACCTGCATACTAACGTTTTGTGACTGGTGTACAGGGACACCCAAATCCCTCTGAATACTAACCCTATCTAGTCTCTCCCCCTCCAGAAAATAATCTGCTTTTCTGTTTTTACTACCTGGGTGAATAACTTCACACTCCCCACATTATATTCCATCTGCCATCTTCTTGCCCACTCATCTAGCCTATCTATATCCCTTTGCAATCTTTTTGTGAACTCATCCTCAGAGCTTACTCTCCTACCTAGCTTAGTGTCATCCGCGAATTTAGATATTTTAAGTTCCATGTCCTCGTCTAGATCATTGATATAGACTGTAAATAGTTGAGGCCCAAGCACTGATCCTGGTGGCACTCCACTAGTCATGTCTTGCCAATCTAAGAAGGACCTGTTTATCCCTATTCTCTGTTTTCTTCCCGTTAGCCACTCTTCAATCCACCTAATATATTGCCTTTAATTCCATGGGCCCTAATCTTGTGTAGCAGCCTTTTATATGGCACCCTGTTGAATGTCTTCTGAAAATCGAAATATACTTCATCTACTGGTTCCCCCCAATCTAACCTGCTGGTTACATCCTCAAAAATCTCTAAAAGCTTTGTTAAGCATGACTTCCCTTTTGTAAAGCCATGCTGACTCTGCCTAATCATGTTATGGTCCTCTAAGTACCCCACTACGATGTCCCTAATTAAGGATTCGAGAATTTTCCCTACCACCAATGTCAGACTGACTGGTCTCCAGCTTCCCATCTTCTCTCTCCCACTCTTCTTAAATAGTGGTGTTACGCTGCACAAGACTCTGTGGGGGCTGGAAGGGAAACCGTTGACGGAGACAAATTGGAGAAGGTATGAGAGATAAGACCTGAACCATTCAAGGACAGAACCTTGAAGGTTGAGGTGAGAGGAGAGGTAGTGGAGGAGGACGGAGTGGCAGCAGAGAGGTCAAGGAGGCAGAAGGAGCCCTGGTCACAGATGGACATTTGTCACCTTGACCAAAGCAGTTTCTGTGCTGTGATCATCGCTGGAACCTGACTGGAGGGGCTCATGAAGTGAGTGGTAGGAGAGGAATGAATTAAGCTGGGAAGCATCAACTCTTTCAAGGACCTTGGAAAGAAAAGGGAGGTTGGAGATGAGCTGTAAGTTAGAAGGCAGGGATGGATCCAGGGAAGTTTTTTTCAGGATTGGGGTGATTGTGGCTGTTTTTAGGGGGATGGGAATGGTGCCAGATGATAGGGAGAGATTGATGGTGTCAGAGAGTAGAGGGGCGAGGAGGTGGAGGTGGGAGGTAAGGAGAGGGATGGGGCTGGGGTCAAAGGAGCAGGTGGTGTGTTTCATGCTGGATATAGTGGTGATGAGAGAGGAGAGGGCGACAGGTTCGAAAATGTGGAGGAAGGGATGGATAGGTGTCGGAGTGTGGGTGAAAGAAGGGGAGTGAATGGCGGTTGGGAGGGCGGAGGAAGCTGAACGGAATCCCCTCGATTTTGGACTCGAGGAAATCCAGCATCGCCTCACAATCAAAGCTTGAGGAGAGAATAGGCAAAGCACGGGAGGGTGGATGGAGGAGCCAGTTGGTGGTGAAAAATAGGAGCCTGGGGTTGTCCCTTGCCTCCAAGATTATTTTGGAGTAGAAGGACGATTTGGTGGAGGCGAGGGCGGAGCGGTACATTTTGATGTGGTCCAGCCAGATCTGCTGGTGGAGCGTTAGATCAGACTTGAGCCAGGTGCGTTCGGTGATGTGCACCTGACCCTTGAGGGAACGGAGGTGGCTGATGTACCAGGATGAGGTTTGTGAGAAGGGGCGGTTCGGGAGGCGAGGGGGGCAAGAGCATCAAGAGTGGTGGAGAGGGAGTTGTGGAGGAGAGTGAGTGAGGAAGATAAATCAGTGCGGGAGGTAGGCCAGAGGAGGGGGACTCCAGGGCAGTGGAGAGGGATTGCAGGGAGATTTTTTCCAGGGGTGATAGGAGATGGAGGTGAGTTTGGTGATGGTGGGGGAGAGGGATTGAGAAATTAAAGGAGATGAAATGGTGATTGGAGATGGCTTTGTCTAACTCGAACCACCGCGTTAGGGCTTTGGCTTGCAGGGTTAACAAGATCTGAGTGGGAGGATTCCCCGCCCCAATGACTGGTTTGCCTTTCCAAGTCCTGCTGATGAGTTTTTTAACATTACACTGGTAATTATACAGAAATATTTCTGCAAAGGGTACCAAATCTCGATGGAGTAATGAATTCTCATTAAGGCTCTGATATGCTCATTTATTCTCCTGTTCCTGAGAGCAACAGCCCAATTAAAAAACGGCGTCTTCGCGAAAGTTTGGGCACGAGATACAAGCTGTCGTCTTGTATCATGTACAGTAATGAATTTCCAATTACCAGTGAGCAGCAGCAGGCCTGGCCGGGGTATGTGCAGCATTGTCTGATGAGCCAGAGCAGCCTGATGCTGTCCCTCCCAAAGCAGAGTTGCTTCCCTTTTGCCTGACATTTTCCCAACATGTGGCACTGTTCCACAAGGATGTGGGAGCTGCAGCCTGTCAGCTAACATCTGCTTCGGATCACGGGCAGCTGCCAGCTCAACTTGCAAGGATACGCGCTAATACCTTATGTTAATGCCTCGTGGGTGTCTCGGAAATATTTGTGGAGATACTTCATGGCCAAAGTGAAAGCGAAAACATTTGCCTACACATTGAGCATGGCCTAACGAGAGACTATGGCAACTGTGTCTGTTTTGCTTTGTGCCACTGTTGTCTGCTTTGAGAGGCCAAAGTTATGTTGAGAATATCAAGCAGGGCTATTTGCTATTTCAGGTCAGGGCAAACCTTTTCTCTTTGCACATCACAAAGGAACCCTACTTTTCTCCTCACAAAAACAGAGAGAGCTGGGAACACTCAGCAGGTCAGGCAGCAACCATGGAGAAAGGGAGTGAGTCAACGTTTCGGGTCCACGACCCTTCGTCAGAACTGGCTCACTCAAAAGCTCTGACGAAGGGTCATGAACCCGAAACGTTGGCTCACTTTCCTTGCTCCATGGATGCTGCCTGACCTGCCGAGTTTTCTCAGCTCTCTCTGTTTTTGTTTCAGATTCCAGCATCTGCAGTATTTTCTGTTTTGTTCCTACTTTTCCCCTGGTTGATTGAAGCTTCCAAATCACTCGCAGTAGGTCGAAGGCTGAGGTCCCGGTCTTTCGCTCACTAAAACTCAGCCACCCTCAGGCGCGGATGGTTACACCTAGTCAGCAAGCAGTAAACTATCCAAGGTCATGTCTATAAACCCCAGCAGAGCCTTTATGTGTGTGGTTTGGATATAAATCATCACAGACTGGAATCAGGTCCAACTCCACGATTGAGATGTAGCAGCAAGAAACATCAACATCACCTCAATATCCAAGGATGTAAAAGATTTATTAGTCAGGGCACCAAGTGCCTCTCATTACTCCGAAATGCCACTTTGAGTGAAGGGCGCTACATAAATGCAAATTGTTGTTATTATTAAAGACTTGCTGTTGCTTGTCAAGTGGGAAGGAATAATGTTGGCCTGAAACGTTGGCCTAAAAATTATTGTGCAGTTGAATTTGATGTTAGTATACTTGCATTTCAGTGAATTTAACTTTGTTTTGTATGAGAGAAGATCGCTGCTCAGGATTATATTTGATCTTTAGATGTGATGACCATTTTAGATGTGATGACCTGATTTCTGTGTAGCATTTCACAATTTATAGAATTAGTGAATCCTACGGAACAGAAGGAGGCCATTTGGCCCATCATGCCTGTGTCGGCTCTTTGCAAGAGCTATCCAATTAGTCCCACTCCCCCGCTCTTTCCCCATAGCCTTGCAATTTTTTTCTTTTCAAGTAAATATCTAATTCCCTTTTGCAAGTTATTATTGAATCTGCTTCCACCATCCTTTCAGGCAATGCATTCCAGATCATAACAACTCTCTGCATAAAACAAATTCTCCTCATCTACCCCTCGAGTTCTTTTGCCAATTATCATAAATCTGTGTCATTTGGTTACTGACCCACCCGCCAGAGGAAACAGTTTCTCCTTATTTACTCAATCAAAACATCTCATAATTTTATTAAATCTACCTCTTAACCTTCTCTGCTCTAAGGAGAATAATCCCAATTTATCTAGTCTCTCCACATAACTGAAGGCCCTCATTCTGGTATCATTCTGGCTTCCTTTCAGCAAGAAATTAATTCTGCATTTGCTGATCAGCATAAAGAAGTCTCTAGATGGTTGGCGCTTTGATCCAATGGTTACCGATGTCCACCATCAGCATTTCCTGCAACTGAAGGTTAAAAGATGTCATCGGTACAGTCTCTAAATGTCTCCTTTTCTCTCACTTTCATTTCAGGTTATCAGGGATATTTTGTTAATTGGGCATCGGCAAGCATTTGCCTGGGTGGATGAATGGTGCGGTAAGTTGCGTTCAATTATTGCTTCAAATGTGAAAAGTAAAAGAATGCGTTTCACAATCTCTCTGATCCAGAGTTCACTCTGTCACAACCTCAATGGGACTCGATGGAGGCAGTGAATTGTTTGGGCGATGGGTATCACAAATCTTTTTGAAAATAATAGTTCAATGTGTCCATTTTCCAATGAACTTGGTACCTTCTCTATTCTTTAGAGGTCCCCTGTCTGACAGATTTTCATAACCCAGTATTGGCTTTGCACAGGAGGGGCATTGGATGAAAGCAGTCGTTGAAATTCGGTCAAGTGTTCGGTACTGTTTGCTGTTTCATAAGCCAATGCAGAACTCACCACCACACTTAATTTAGACACACAAGCTCAAATCTTGACATCGTTCGAATGCCACAATTAGCCTTTGAGTATTTTGATAGAGACTGAACTAAACAGAAATCTTAAGGAGTGATTTGTTCACCACACACTGAATAACACCCACAAAGTACAGTTAACCCACTTTACAATATATTCTGTGAAGTGCTTTGAGACATCTAAACGTTGCGAAAAGGCGCTACATCAAACGCAAGGATTATTATTATTATTATACAAACCCCAAGGCGCTGCATGGGTGTGACTTAAATCATCCAGGTTTGCATGTTTTAAGAGACACGATCCAGAGGAGAGGCTGTTGGGTTTAATGGAAGAAATCAAATTGTCTCCTGTTTCAAGACAGATGGCCATATCCTAGTTTTTCAACCCTCTCTTCCTGCAGGAAAAAAAGATGGGAAGTAGATAAACATCTGTTTCTGAAAGCGAGCTTGTATTGTCTAATTAGTCTAATAGCCATATTTATACCAGCAAATCAACAGTCACTGAGGCTGCTATTACTGGATTCATTTAACCAGGCATGCATGTGTTTACTTAAACATGCCCGTAACTCAATGATCTGTGTGTTCATTATATAGGGACTTATATTATATACTGCCGCTCGGGGAATATTAAAAGCAGTACAAGTGCAAACTCGTGTGCTCAGTTCCTTTCAGTGACTGAATGTTCTGCTTATAGTCTTGTGTTCTGTTGATACAGGTAAACAAGCATTTCCAAAGTCTAACTCTTTGTACCTTCCTTATACTGTCGTGCTAAAACCCCAGAACAGCAACCACAGAACGATTCAGACTATGCGACTTCTGTCGGTCACCATAAACATAGCAAAGCAAATCATTATATGTCTTTCCATTAGAGAGAAGATGCAGAGTGAAAGCTGTGGTCACTGCTGATAACCAGCTCTTTATTGGTCCAGTTACATGTCAGCCTGGCTCAGCTGGTCACACTCTTCCCTCTGAGTCAGAAGGATGTGGGCTGGACTTTGAACTCACATAAACTAGGCTGACGCTCCAATACAGTTCTGGGGGGCGGTGCATTGTCCTTTGGATGAGACATTAAACCGAGGTCCTGACTGTACCGGTTCATTTGAACGTTAAAGATCCTACGGCACTATTTGAAAAGAGAAAGGGATCTTCTCCCAGGGATCTTCTCTGAGGAACATTGCCTGCGTAACGTATAGTACTAGCTTCAATCTCCTCACTTTATCGGCTCGCAATGTGAGTGACAGACGACATGTTGAACTTAACCATTAGTGTCGATGTGACATCCCCCAAAGTACAGGTAATTAATTTTGACTTGAGGAAATGAAGGATATCTGTTATAAGAGCTGCTATTGATGAATCCTGCTCAAATTCATTGGAAAATGGTACTTTGAACTCTGATAACTCTGGTTAGTGTGAAATTGTTGAGATGGATATTAATAGAAATAACACTTTAAGGTTGTAAGTTGTTTTGATGTGTGCGCTGCAATATTCATATTAATTCTCGAGTGCCTATAGACCCGATGCGATCTCAACGTTGGTTTGCATCGCCTCCAGTTGCTTGCTGCTGCGGTCAAATGGGCTCAGCTCTCAGAACTCTCCACCGCTAATCACTAATTTGCAACAAAATGTCATAGATCCAGTTACTAACCGCTGTCAAAAATACCCGGCAGAAGGGTGAAATGAGAAAGCCCTAGAAATGTCTCCTTTGTGGATGTGATATTTAGTCTACAGCTCTTCAGATAAACTTGGTTGCTATCTCTGCTTTCCTTTGTTAACCTCCACTAACGGAAACGCTTGATCATTTTGACAATCGTTGTTTCTGCTTTTAAAAATACGGGGTTTCCTCTGAGTGAAACTGTCCAGAAGATGAGACAGAACGTCGTGAGTTTTAACAAATCCCAGCGGGTTTTACGCTGATGCCTGTTTGTTCCCCTGGTAATTGGCTAACTGGTAAACTCCTCAAGGGCAAAGCCTTTGGACTCAAGGCAAGACAACACAAATCTACAGGACCTTTCACTCAGACTCGGGAAATAGCACTTCTCATACCATGTGATTCGCTTTCCCTCACTCTGATGATCTCACCTTATTTGCCCAGTAGGTGATGATGACATCTTAGGACCATAGCAATTTACAGCAAGGAAGAAGGCCATTCAGAACCATCATGTCTGGCTCTTTTAGGAGCAATCCATTCATTGCATTTAGCTGCCCTTTCCCCCTATACCCCCTCTGACTCAGCTCCGTGGTTCAGAGACAGTGACATGGCCACAGGCCTCAGCTCCATGTAAAGTTCTCCCCACAATCCCACAGACCCAGCCCTTGTCGAGGGCCTAGCATTCATCTCTTTCCAAAAGGTACAAGCACTTTGAGATGTTCTCCCACGTGGAAGGTGTTATGGAGGGTGAATTGTTGCAGAAAGGAATGAGTTTAAATGTTCACAAGATTAGTTTGGGTGAAGAAAACCCTTCAGCTCATCTGATCGCATCCTTCCAGAACATGCAACTTGTTAACATACTATTTGTTCAGAATCTCAGCAAAGGTGAGAAGGGTCTGAGGATATATACTCTTAGGTGGGTCATTTTTTTTTCATATGTATGAAAAAACTCCCACCAAACATTGCCCGCTGGAAGCCATGCCCCAGTCTCCATTCAATCTCTGGTGTGCGCGTGTGTGTAAGCACTGGGTGTGTTCGGGGAGTCTGTTACTCAAACGTACTCTTTCTAAGACGTCAAGACTATTTTATTTTGATCAGCCGGATGTCTGACACATGCAGAAACCATCACCATGCTCAAAACTATTCAAACTAGACTGAGAGTTCCATCTCTGCGTTGTTAAGAGGCGAGGCTTGGTAATCCCAAGGGGGTGATAGGGTTACTGCATGAGTTCAAGCCACATAGGTCGGTGTTAAGGTAATAATTATGGGATGTGATGGGGAGACGGAGTGGATCCTATTCTACTTTTCAGGCGCAAAAACAAACCAGGATCTGAAATATCAAATTTAAACCTGAAGAGATGTGTTGTCACCAGTTGCTGAAGCATTCCGCTCGGCTAGCTTGTAATTGAGGTACAAGGGGCGATGTACATGTGTTCTTAACGTTGCAAATTGCTCTTTGCTAGGAGCTCCTAGGAAACTTTCTTCACTTCCTGCCCTACTTTAGAAGCCCTCTTTTCTCTCCAGCTTTTTTTTTCCAATAAAAAGTACTAACACCCAATCTTTCTTGCTGGGCTAAGCTAGGCTGTGCTGGCACTCGGAGATGCAGGTGTTCTTTCCTCTCTGTTCGCCGTGTTGAAAGTCCGGATGAAATCGTTGAGTCAGTCAGTAGCCTGTTTGAACTTTTCACAGACTTGACTTTGGAGGAAGTTCGCATAATCGAGGCACAGATGCAAGTTGAAACCAACCAAAAAATTGGATCTCAAGGCCCAGCTTCCTCTGATCCTTAAGATTTCTGTTGGAGAAATGTATGTTTTTTACAATTTATTTAAAACAATCTTGTACATTGTGTGTATTTATTTTGGATCCTCTTTTCAGTGATCTTGGATTTCAAGAGGTCGGAGGCACCGTGTGTGTTTGGGGAGGAGGGTGAAGACACTGTGTAGCGGGGCACTGTTGTTGGGGTGCTCTGTGTGTCGGGGGGGCAGTCTCGCAGGGTGTACTCTCTCAATGTAAATGAGCCATTTAAGATGTGATTGCTGAGTGCAGATGACACCTCTCTGTGCCCTCGAAACCCACAACAAACAGTGACCGTATCATTTAGAGAGGAGATGGCCAATGCTTCTGTGATGCTTTCACAGGATCACACAAGAGAGGTTTGGTGAAGAAAGTCTTTTGGCCCCTATGATCTCCTCCTCACAGAACACTGACCACTGTCCTCCCATCACAGCCACAATCTGTTTCTTAAATGTGTTGTGCCCTGGCCTCAGCCAGCGTCCCTGGTAACCCTGTTCCAATCATTAGTTACTCTCCGTTAACAAACTACTCCTTGATTTGCTGTCTTTGCAACTCTAAACCTGTGTCCACCCACCTGTCCTTCTGTCCTAGTATATCTGGGAGTATTTAGGTTTGCTTTCTCAATCCCACATGAAAATGAAAAATGAACAGAGATTACTGTGAAGCGCTTTGTCCATCTGCGACCAGGGCTCCCTCTGCCTCCTCATCCTCCTTGACCTCTACTGCCTTCGATACCGTTGACCATTCTATCCTCCTCCACCGCCTCTTCTCTCAGCTCAGCCTTCATGGCTCTGTCCTTGATTGGTTCAGATCGTATCTCTCACACCGTCTCCATTTCATTTCCACAAATGGCTTCTTCTCCAGCCCCTGCACCATCTCATGCGGCGTTCTTCAGGGCTCTGTCCTCGGTCCCCTCCTCTTCAACATCTCTTGGTGACATCATCCGCAGACATGGGGTCAACTTTCACATGTATGATGATACCCGATTCTACCTCTCTGTCTCCACCCTTGACTCCAGGATCCACTGTTGTGCTGACAGAATGTCCCAATGCTGTGAGAAGGAACATGGAAACGGGAGTAGGCCATTCACATCTACCGGGTGTTTTGACACATATTGATACCCACCACTGTGCTTGAGAACATCGGTGCATGTTCACCATGAACAAAGTGCTCTGAGACACTCCCCTGCGTGGAGGGCGCTATATTGTTGGTGTTGTCGTTGTTGCATCGAAGATTTGAATGCGAGTTCATCATCAGGCACTGAATGCAACAAGGCACGGGCCAACACGAGCCAACACGCGCTTTGGTGCTGAAACCCAGACAGAATCTACATATCATCTCATTCTGTCTAGTTCAAGCTTGACGGCTTCAATACTGCCCAGAGTGAAACCTATTAGTTTTATTCTGCAGCTCAAGGTGACAGCGGGCACAGCCATGTACCCATTTGGGGCGACAATAGAAAGTATCCCGACTGTGCTGAACCTTACTTTACTCACTGCAGGACTGTATTGGCAATCACGGGCTGTAACACGCAGGCTTTGGGCGCCGCCGGCTGGCGGTTCAGTGCAGTTGCACTTGAGAATCTCTGGCTGCTGATGTACCATCATTTACCACCTGGGAACAGGTGAGCTTTACAGGCATCAACTTCCAGAGCAGGCTGCTGCTTGGGTCGTCCTCCCTCACACAGCAGAAACTCAGGCAGTGTTCAGAGATCGTTATTATGGGGTTAGCCATGACGCGCAGAAAATGCTGTTTACCACAACAACAGCTTGTGTTTATATAGCGCCCTTCACACGGGCTACTGTTCCAGAGTGATATAATTAGACTTGGAGAAGTGGCCATTGCCCAACCTAACAAGCCAAGGTTCCAGCTGGTGAGTTGGGTCCTGGGTAGGCTACATTGTGCTGCACCGTGGCCAAATAAATGTCATCCTCAAACAGGTGTCGGGGTGTAAATTAAACCCCTTCTGCAGTGTGTATTGGTGACACCTTGCTGTTGTGTTCTTTTGCGAGGTTCAAGGTTACAGGCACAACAATAGAAAAGGACCCGGGTTATCTGGATTCACTACTACAAACTCAAATATTGTTTTAGTCCAAACAATGACTTGCTGGCTTTCATTGACAGGGTAGATACGATGCTGCTGTAAGAAACAGTGAGCAAACAGCACTGTATTCGGCACCTAGAAACCAAGGGTGACAGGCTCTGATTCCTGAGTCTGTGCTCCGAAACTTCAAGCGTCCTCTATCATTCGCTGTTTCTTTGTGTAATCCTGATCACCCATTGCTGCTCAAGTACTTGTCCACGACACAGTAATGTCAGGGATTGCACCGGCTGACACGTCTTACTGCAAAGGTTGTTTTGAAATGTCACAAAAAANGTCATGAACAATTTGGATGTTTATGTCTATTTATGAGGGCAAACTTTGTGTCTCGAACCACAAAGAGGGAGCCCTGAAGTGTCTGGGAAACTCAATGAATGTACATCTGCTGTGCGCAATTGGCTGCTGTGTTTCGCCTACAAAACACACAGTCACTAAACTTTACAGTATATTCCGTGAAGCGCTCTGAGGCGTCTCGGCGACGTGATAAGGCGCTTATTATTATCTGACCTCTTTTCCTCCTTGCTCTCTCCCCCTCCCCCACCCAACACCCACCACCCTCCTCCTTGTCTTTGCAGACATGACGATGGATGAAGTCCGAGAGTATGAGAAGCAAACTCAGGAAGCTACGAACGAGAAGATCGGGATCATGGCCCCCACCATCTCCTTCAGCGATGCCGCACAGCCGTCCGCCACACGCAGCGCCCCCTCCAGCGCTCCGTCCACGCCGCTCAGCGGGGAGCCCCCCGATTTCCTCAGCGTGCCCAAAGACAGGCCAAGGAAGAAGTCAGCGCCAGAAATGTTGACCCTCCCCGAGCTGAGAGAGAGGGCAGCCTTGGAGTAACTTCGGGGGAAAATCGGGAATCGTCCCCGATTCTGCCAAGTTTCAGCGGCTGCGTTTATCCAACGCCGCTTCACTGAAACGAACCATCTCTGTTTTTGGGGGTTCTTCAACGCTTTCATCTGTTAAAAGATACCGCACTACGGTAAACCTGCATCAACATTGACCACCTGAATCAATTAGCATCTTAATTTTAGCTAAAGACATGGGGTGAGGGTTATGTTCCCCTAACAGGACTGCTGTATCTTATCGCATTCTCTTTATCATTCCTTGTTCAGAGTTTCAGGCAGAATCACAACATTGCGGCAGCACGAGCCTACACTGCATTCTGTCAGATCAGTGCGTGTCGCTGGCAGTGCTCCTGCCCAGGTGAAGCTAAGCTCATGCTGGGAGAAACTAGTTGGAGTTCACCCTCATCTGTCTGCAAATCGATGAGGACAAGTCAAACAGGCAATACCCATCACACCGGACGCTTGCTTTTAATGTGAAAGGCACTATATAAATACAACTTGTTGTTATTACCTTCCTGTTGAATGGGATTGTAATAAGTAAAAAAGAATCTTCTAATATTATAATAACCTTTGCATTTTATGCAGCACCTTATCACATGGTTGAGATGTCTCAAAGCGCTTCACAGTATATACTGTAAAGCGGATTGACACACAAACAGTCGTGGATTGAGTGACCCCTTTTTATTTTGCATTTCAAATAGCGCCTTTCACCTCGGAGGACACCTCAAAGCACTTCAAGATTCATCGTAAAGTGTAGTGACTGTGCATTTTTGTAAGCGAGCTCGGGAGCTAATTTGCCCATAGCATTGTCCCACAATAAACGGCTTTGAGACATCCTCCTGACATTGAAAAGTGCTACATCAAATATAAACACTATTTAAGTATAAAACTAGCAATCACCCAGTGTAGCATTAAGGGAACAGGTTACAGGTTTGATTCCTGGTCTATGCTGAGATCGATGATGTTAGTGTTGAGCTAAGACTGTCCAGTGTCCCCGCACAGAGAGAGGATGTTGGGTGTACACAGTGTTAGGATTCCACAAGGAATAAGGTGCTCCACTATCGATGTATTCCAAGTTGTTTAATTTAGTGTCAATCCAACATACGCCTATAATCTGTCCCTCAACACCTTCACCCAACCTCAGGCTTATGTCGAACACCCTATTGACATTCACTGTCCTGGCTCACACAAAACTGACTGTGCATTTGATTGAGGTAGTGAAGGGCACCCAGTACTCACAGAGCCATCAGTCTGCAGAGCAGAGAGAGAGAGACAGAGAATTGGCAAAAACAAACAGAAACTAGATCAAAAATATCCTGCATCAGAGCTCACCCTCCTACCCTCACCCTCACTGCCCTCTACCTCCCCTGATCCCAACCCCCAGTTCGGGTCCAAATCCTTGTCTGTCCAGTACCTTGCGAAGTCCTCCCAACGTGAAAGGCGCTACACAAATGTAAGTTGTTGTAAGTTGTAAGTTGTGGTGATGTTGAGGGGACGAGAGGCAGAGTGCAGTGTGCTGGATCACAACTGCATGTTGAATTGTCATGTTTCATGTAATCAAAGGTAAATAGAAAGATTTAGGAAAACACTTTGGTTTGCAGACAGACAGCATCTTGTTTTAAAAGGGTGAACCGTGTGACTCAGTGGCTGAAGTTGGGTTTAAGTAGAGTCTAAAAAGTACTTTAAATTCCCAAAGACTAAACTCCCAGCCGCTCTACAACAAGTCAAAACTTCAGCGTCTTCAGAGTTGCTTTATTTCCACTTCTCTTCCTCTTTCCTTCTCCATTTCTCTCTCCTCCCCACCCCTCCTACAGAATGTAAAGTATCCGTGTGGTATTGAAGGAGAGTGTGGAGCAGCACTGTACCATTGGTGGGAAGGCTTTCAGCCTCTCTGCCCCCACCCTCTGGAACTCCATCCCACAGTCCCTCTGCCTCGCCCCCTCCCTCGCCTCCTTCAAGACCCATCGCAAGACTCTCCTCTTTGTCCATGCCTTGGGTCACCCTCCGACCCCTACCTTCCTCACCCTCCACCCGTCCTGATCCCAACCACCAGCTTGGGTGCAGATCCCTGACTGTTCAGCACCTTGGGATGTCCTCCTGACGTGAAAGGCTCTGTACAGGGAAGGTAGTTCAGCAGGGACGTGATTTCACACGTTATCAACATTGTACGGCAGCTGTTAAAGTCATACTACCATTTACATATGAAGGTTTTCTTTATACTTTTTTCCCACTGAAATTCTATTCTGGCAATTTGTACAGGATTTATTCATAAAATCACACAAGATCAAGTTGGATGAAGAAACCTTTCAGCTACTTAATCGCATCCTTCCAGGATCCCAACCCTACCGTCCATCCATCACAGCTTCGAGCTGTTTCTTAATTATAACGAGACGTCTCAAAGACGTGATAAGGCGTAATTATCAAATGCAAGGATTATTGTAACACTGTGAGGGTAACTTGCGAGAAGGAAATGTAACTAACTCCAGTAATGTTGAGAAGTATTTTATTTGAATTAAATACATGTATGTGTCTTGCGAAGATGTGAATTTGCTGTTTTATTCCTGTACACACACGCTGGCCAAAAAACTGCATCTCAATCCAACTAGAGCAAGACAAAGCAGAGTCTGGCTATTGACTTCAAGAATGTCTTCATGTCCTCAGTCTATGTTTAAGAATTACATTTTTAACAATAATTTGGAATAATAATATGATCCTTAACAATAACTAAACAACTCCCCCACCAAAAAAAAACAATTCGCCCCAACCCAAATAAAAAGAAACTGTGGAAAACAATCAATTGGCATTTATTCAGGATGTGTTTACTGATCTGTCTTCACTGAGCTGCAGTGCATTGGACAGATAATTTGGTGCCATGTGTTATTGTAAGCAGAACTGGCCATTGGGTAAAGCAAGTCCTCAGGAACCTCAGACATTCACCTCAACCTTGAAGAGCATCCAGGTCCCGGGTGACGGACCTCACCAAGGACATTTATCTGAACATTTATCGAGTCACCAGCATGGAAAGTGCATGGACTGTGACACTAGCTCACCCCCAGGTTCATATCACCCTCTTTTAACTCTACTGCAAATCTCAAAAAAAGACTGTACAAGTCAGAAATGTTTTGGTGTCTTATTCCCGGTGGACTGCTTCATTCACATTACTTGTTTTGTACTATTTTGGAGATTGGTGGATCATTATACAGCCTGACTCATCATTGGTGGGACTGTGAAAATATTCCATGTTGAACACTCGGATTTTAACCCTTTAAGGAAACCCTGTCACGTGCTTGAAATAAAACGTTACAAACACTTTCCACTGGAAGGAAGGTGATCGGTTTTCGAGACCAAAATCACTCACTTTGTCATGATTCCACTGTTTGAGTCATTTGTTAAAAGTAAATATGTTTTGCCCTTGAGTGCTCTAGAGCTCTTGATCTCAAATAAGGGTTACAGGCAACAGGCCCTCACGGAAGAGGACAAGGTATGGCTCTTCAGTCTTGAAAGTAGACGACTCACCCAAGGCACCATTGCGCAGACTGGAGCCTCGTCGACAAAATCCTGGGAGTCGATTGCCTGTCTTGGGCCAGACAGAAATAGCATGTGTAGAAAATAAATCAAAATCTGTCTTAGAATACCACGAGGTGCCATTGCTTTTTTCAAAGAAAATTGTAAATGAAAGTGCTCCTTCTGGCTTCAAACACAACTGGTTTGGGTTTGTGCAACTCTGTGCAAGTTCTGTGCAGCCAGTTTACGATCGACCCATTTTGTGTTTCTCTAACTGCTGTTTATTGGAGATGATTTCGCTTTAACCTGTGCCGTTTCTGTCTGAAAAAAAGCAAACTGTGCGAGTGAAACATTGTTGTTTGTGTAGCATTTGCTTTCAGTGGCTGAGAGACAGAATAGCCCATTGAAATGGCCGCGCGAGGCTGAGTTGACCAATTTTTGTACATAAGGAGGAAGATATAACGTAATCAAATCTGAATTGCCTTCACGACAATGTCAATCGCAGTACCTGTAAATAGTACAGAAGATGTATAATTTTAGCGGAATGCATTGATAATGGATTAAAAGGAGAATGTCTTAGCTTTATACTTAGTAAATGTTGTTCACAGTGGTAATTAATATATTACTGATGTACTAATAGTTCTGAGGTTCTTAAGTATTATCGGATTTAAGTTATAGTTTTGATTTCATGAAATGTAACAGGAGAGTAAGGGTTTGCTTATATACAGTAAAACCATGATGTAGTTACTCTTTTCAATAATAAAAGAAATGTGTAAACCCATGTCTTTCTGACTTCTTGTTTACCTGTAAGAAATTGTCAGCAATTTGCATTTTTTTTATATTGTAGGTTTTTTGTATGAAAAAAATGCACATTTTCTCTATTTCAGGAACCATATAGTAGCAAATGCCAGACTCCTTCAATGGGAGTTCAGCAACGTGTAGTCCCATCATTACAACTCACATTCATAAGGCGCGTTTCACAGCAGATGGACATTTCAGAGTGCTTGACAAAGGTAAGGGTTACCGATCGCCCTTTAATACGTGTTGATTACCTTCCTGACTTTGTTGTAGTGGAACGAGAGGATTGAAGAAGGAGGAGAAAATGAAATCTTCTGGGGAGCACAGTCTAGGCTGACACTCCAGTGCAGGGCTGAGGGTAGCTCTGTGTTATAAGAGGTGCCGACCTTAATTTAAACATTAAATCAACATCCTGTCTGCCTGTTCAGGTGGTTAGAGACCCCGAGGCTCTATGATGAAAGAGAAGGGAGTTTCTACAGGTGTCCTGGCCAACAATCCCCCAGATAAAATCATCATAGGCACAGGTAGCTCATGATTGACGGTGTGTAGGATGGGCAACAGGGAAGGGTGTTGACTCAGTTGAATAAGACCATCGTAAAACATGAATAAACTGGGCTTTTTGCTGTCCTCTATTGTGTGTTGTGTATATAGTAGGTGTGGTCAGTTTGACATTGTTTAATAGAGATCAGATGGTATCTTTATAAAAAATGTTGATATGGTTCTAATTTCACTCAGACATTTGGGAGTCCATATACTGTTGCTACTACAAGAAAGTAATGGTTATTGTGGCTCCTTAATGCCATGATATGACTTCAGAGTTGTCACTGGAAAAAGTCCGATGTAAGTGTTTCATGCAGTGAACAGAAACCTGGCTCAGTCATAGGAACATAGGAACAGGAATATGCCATTCAGCAACAACAATAACTTGGATTTATATGGCGCCCTTCACGCCAGGCGGCCTCTCAGAGCGCTTCAGTCCCTGAGAGGGGCCATTCAGCCCCTCGAGCCTGTTGCACCATTCTATCAGATCATAGAATCGTAGAATTATACAGCACAGAAGGAGGCCATTCGGCCCATCGTGTCAGTGCCAGCTCTTTGAAAAGAGCTATTCAATCCTACTCCCCCGCCCGCTCCCCATAGCCCTGCAAACTTGAGGTACAGATCATAGCTAACCTGTACCTCAACTCAAATATCCCTTGATACCCTTAACTAACAAAAATCTATCCACTTCTGTCTTGAAAATGTGAATGTCTAGTATCTCTCTTGCCTCCAGGTCAGAAGATTGTGAGTTCAAGCTCCCCATCGGGTTTTGAACTCATAGTCGAGGCTTATACTTCAGTGCAGTTCGGGTGAGCGGTGCTTTACCAGAGGTCCCGCTTTTCGGGTGAGACATTAAACTGAGATCCAATCTGCCTGTTCTTCAGGTGGATGTTAAAGATTCCATGGCACTGCTTGAAAACAGAATGGAGTTTCTCCCGGTGTTATGGCCGACAATCCCTCATATACTTGGTCATTCAATTCAATTGGTTATTTGAGGGGGATTGCTGCCTGCAAATGGGCAGCCACATTTTGTCAACAAAACACACAGTCACTACACTTTACAGTGTCCTGTGAAGTGCTTTGAGACGTCGCAAAGACGTGATAAAGCGCTATATCAAATGCAAGGATTATTATTATATACACAGTCGCTACACTTTACAGTATATCCCGTGAAGCGCTTTGAAACGTCTTCCCGACATGGAAAGGTGCTATATCAAATACAAGGATTATTATAATGGAATGAAAGATTGGTTTGGGTGAAGAATGCTCTCAGCCCTTTGATCTAATGCTTTCAGAATGGAAGGGAGGGAGGGAGGAGTGGGTGGAAACACGTGTGGAGAATGAGCGCCAGGAAGGACAACTGTATTTGCACCAAATGGCCTGTTTCCATGCTGTAAATTCTATGTAAATCAATGAACACCTACCCTGGAATCCTCTCATCACAGTATCAAGCTGCTTCTTGAATGAGTCCCAGTGTCCTGACCTCAACCTTCTGGTAACCCTGTTTCAGTTGTTAATAACCCTCTGGATAACAAAATATTTTCTGGTGTCCAATCTGAAATTGACCCTTCTAATCTCAGACACCTTGTACCCTGGAGTTTATCATTTTACTGTTTGCAGGATTATTCTCAGCAGTAGGGTTAACACAAACGAGACTGACGGGTATTCAGCAAAAAAACACTGTTTTAATTTCATAGTTGTTATCCACTTCCATCACAACATTTCTTGTACGTACATTTCTTTTAAGCATCTACAGAAAACTGACTTCAAAATCAGAGTTGAATTTGCCAAATTGTGGACCTCTTAGAGTCTATCTAGATCAATCGTGTTTAACGACTCTTACAGTAACATTCCTGAAACAAAGGGAAATGCTTTCCGAGTCAGTTAAGAAGCAACAGTTACAAACACTAGCCGTGCAGAATAAAACAGATCTACAATGTAGACAGCGAGATTAACAAAGGTTAAGACAGTTGCTATCAACATATTATCCCACTCACAGTGCCCCTTCGGACATTTCGGTGGCCTGCTTGTATTATCCCTGAAGTAGAATATCGGCCACATTATCGCAGCGGTGAGGTACATCAACACAGCCAGAATGTTGTAGGCGGTTAAGAACCTTTCAAACGGAAACGGTAGCCTTGAAATAAGCTTCGCAATGGTGCCTATTATAATCAGTAAGGCAATGATGAAACATACACAGTACACTGCCATGCACCACTGACGACCTGCCATGTTGCTGTATGTCCCTTCGATGGATACAAAAATAATACAGGCAACAAAAGCCTCCAACACCTTCAGGAGCCCAGGTACTGTTGTCAGGAATCCACTGAGCTCCTCTTGCCTCACCCTTGTTAGTGAAACTTCAGCAGCGTAAGCAACAAAGCACAGGCAAGCCATTGCAGTGGCCGCTAATTTGTGGTCCTTATTTGACGGATTCTCGCTGACGAGGAAGATGGAGGGGTAGATGATGAAGCTGGTTAAGTTCATCAGAGTGGCCATCATGGCGAAAGAGGTGGTGAAATCTGCCCAGGAGATTGGAATCCTTCTGTGAACCTCCGTCAGTTCCAGGATAACGATAAGTATCGTAAGAGCGAACGAGAAACACCATGTGAACATGCACCAGCCTCCATAAGCCCCTTTGTATTCCTGCACGTTGGCTATCAGACTGAACGCCGTACAGGACAGGAAGATTTCCAGGAATCGCACGATTCCTACAGGAGTGGTCATTGATTGTAAGTCGAGGGAAATCCCAGGCATTTTACTGCAGAAATGTCGAGCTCCGTGAGATGGGAATTCTGTAACTCTCCTCAAAATTCTAAATGACCCTCTCCGTTACGGTCTCTCACAGCCAGTTGCTTTCACTCCAGTTGATGAACAGTATCCTTACAGCATGAATCACACTCTTACATGTTACTTCATATATCATTAAATTACTGATAAGGTCCTGCTTAACACATTGGGTGTTTTAGCCCATCATGGTGCTAAAGTACAGTCCTTTATTAACTTTGAGGTCGATCTTTGATCTTTCACTTCCTTATCATCTAAAAAATGGTTAATTTTTAACGTTTTGCAGAACGAGTCTTTTATGGCCTGAATTCTCGAATGTTATCAATAGGAAGGTTAGCTTCGTCCCTCTGCGGTTTGTGCTCAGTGAATATTTATTGCTGGGAGCGTCCACGCTGCTCTCTTTCTCTCTCTCTCTCTCTCTTTCTCTGTCTTTAGCCCAGAGTTTGTTACAGATATTCTTGCAGATGTGTAGCTTTGTGTATGTGAGCAGAGAAGTTAAATGGAATATTTTAATTTACCACCTACAGAGTTTAACAAATCTTTTCGATTGCAATTTGCGTGCTTGTTACTTGTTACTGTGTATTTTACAAACAATAACGACAGCAACTTGCATTTATACAGCACCCTTCACGCAGAGTAGCGTCCCGGAGCGCTTACAATATATCGCCGAATACTAAGGTGAGCCCAGCGGAGGCTCCCAGGCTGGAGCAGAGGGAGGCTGCGGGATGGTCCAAGCAGAGAAGACGGGGAGGACGATAGGAGAGAAGGACTGAGTGGGAATAACGAAGGGTGGGGAGTAGGAGCAGGGGCCTTTTGGGAGGGGGTGGCTCGGCTCGGCCAAACACACCCGCCAAGACTGAGTAGAGCGATCAGCGGGGGCATCGTCAGCTCTCAGGCTTGGCGGGGGCTAGGGGAGAAGGCACAGAGGGGAGAGAGGGGGGATGGCACTCATAGCTATGTTCGGATCAAAGTGAGCAACAATATCCCACTGCCACGAAGTGAACAACCAATTTGATCTGAGGGATTGTTGGCCGGGACATCAGGAGGGAAAAACTCTTTCCTCTTTGCCAAACGTCCAGCTGAACAACCACTGACAAGACTTTGGTTTCAATATGACTCAAGAGGCGAGAGTGATATCAACTGAATCAGATTGATAATGTATACCATCCCGATGACAGTATGAATTGCTCTTTATCCACCTTAGTTATACGAAATAAATCCCGGAATGAATGTAAAAAGACAGATGCAACTCTTAATCAATAACTGTAAATTACTCTTAAGTTTATCTTTACTGTTTTCTCAGATTACAGCAGTTACATATTTCTGCTTTACTCAGTCACATCTTTCTCATCTATTATCTTTGCTCACTGCTAGGGTTGTAATTCTCTGGTAATTTGTCATTTTAATAGCCTTGGTGTACTTTGAATTGCGTGTATTTTTGCATTACCGTCCTGTGTGCCTTTACTCATCATTATTCTGGTTCAAAATAAGTCTTATTATCTAATAAAGCTTACTTTGAACCAGAATATATCACTATATCAAATGCAATGCCGAAAAGATAAGCCTTACATTTGATATAGTGACTTATTAAGTCCTTGAGACGTCTCAGGTAATTAAGAGTTAGATCTGAAGATCAGCCGTGTTCTTATCGAACGGCAGGGCAGGCTCGAGGGGCCGAATGGTCTACTCCTGCTCCTAATTCTTATGTTCTTACGTTCTTAAAGCGCTTCACAGAATATATTGTAAAGTGAGTTGACTGTATTTTGTGGGTGAAGCATGACAGCCAATTGCGCACAGCAGCGTCCCACAAACAGTTGCGGATTGAGTGACCACGTTTTTTGGGGCAGGGATTATTATTTATAACGACAAATTGATCCCATCTCATGTGGTGTAGGTTTTTTAAACCATCTTGTATTATTCAGGGTGATTGTGTGGGAGATTGACAAGCTGATATGTTCCTCGTGACACAGCACACAGGGCTGGAGTCCTGTAGCTCAGTGGTTAGAGCACTCGCTTTGCAAGTGAGAGACCTGAGTTCAATTCCAGGCAGAGGGTGAAACCTTGGGCAAGTTTCCTTACTCCACACAGAGCCTAATAATAATCCCTCCAAAACCAAAAACAATAATAAATTGGTCATTTTCAATCTACGACTGTATATTTGTGGGCGAACGCGGCAGCCAATTGCGCACAGCAATGTCCCACAAACAGTCGTAGATTGAAAATGACCAATTTATTATTGTTTTTAGTTTTGGAGGGATTATTATTAGGCTCTGTGTGGAGTAAGGAAACTTGCCCAAGGTTTCGGCCTCTGCCTGGAATTGAACTCAGGTCTCTCACTTGCAAAGCGAGTGCTCTAACCACTGAGCTACAGGACTCCACAATAATCTTTGCATTTGATATAGCGCCTTATCATGTCTTGCAGATGTCTCAAAGCGCTTCACAGAATATATAGTAAAGTGAATTGACTGTGTATTTTGTGGGTGAAAGGCGGCAGCCAATTGCGCACAGCAGCGTCCCACAAACTGTCATGGATTGAGTGACCAATTTTGTTTTGAGGGATTATTACCCCTGAAAGCGATCCACTAATCAACTAAAAACCGGTTTCATTCTCACTCATAGGGGTAAGGACGCTTGCCTAAAGGTTTTGGACCATGTGAGAATCAAACCCGGTTCTCTCTCTTGCGAGGAGATCACTCTAACCAATACGCTGCGGGGTTCCACTGCCGGGTTAATGTATTCTATGGTGTACTGATGTGGTAGAGACACCAGATGGTGCTGTGTTGTTCTCCATCACATGGTGTACTTGGTAGTTATGTTGTGAGCGTTTCTGTATTGGAAGCCAAACCTTTTGGGGGCAGCCATGTGTCTGACACATGCTGAAACCGATCGCCGTGCCTACGAGGGGCCTACAAGTTCCTAATATGCCACCTACACATTGGAATTTCCCTGGGTCTGGAATGAAGTGACCACTCTTTCCCAACAACGACAACAAAGTTACATTATACAGTGCCTTTCACATCAGGAGGACGTCCCAAGGCGCTGGACAGTCAGTGCTCGGACCCGAGCTGGGGGTTGGGATCAGGGAGGGTGGAGGGCGGGGGGGGAAGGATCGATGGCACGGTCGAAAACGATAGTCTTGAGATGGGTTTTGAAGGCGGCAAGGGAGGGGGTGAGGGTGAGGCAGAGAGACTGTGGGATGGAGTTCCAGAGGGTGCGGACAGAGTGGCTGAAGGCTCTCCCACCAATAATGGGGCGGGCGAGGTGGGGGACGTGAAGCAAGCCGGAGCCCCTGAGCTCACCATAGAATACGTTAACACTCTGTTTACCAAGTTCCAGAGAATATTAGGCACAAGTTGGTAAGGGCCAGGATTGGGGACCCCTGGAGTGTGTATTTGTCTAGCTAGATGTTAAGAAACTTAATCAACTTAACTTTTGGTTCATTTTCTACTTACAAATACGACCTATGCAAAGTTTTTTGGTAAGCTGGGTTGATTTTCTAATAATCTCTTTAAATCCGGGAAAGGGTAAGAGGGAAGTTGCTTACTGTTAATCTGCATTGCAGTCAAACACCGAAAATAAGTGCAGATGTCCATGGAATTTTTAAGGAGCTGTGAACTATTTCATCCCTCTGCCCACACCAAATTGCGAACTGTACTTATAAAACAATTACTTTAGGTTTTTTTTAACAGACATAAAATGTAAGGTTCAGCAATCCAAACGTTAGTCGCTGCATAAGGTGCTATTGGCAGCAAAGTAATTTTCCAAATACTTGTAGTCTTTAAGCTGACTTAAATGTGAATTATTTCAGATCTTAACAAATCCACTGCAATGCACATATATGATAATGCAGTGCTGGAGGTGTGCTGCATTGTTCAGATACCTACAATACTAAATAATAATGATAATAATAATCCTTGCATTTGATATAGCGCCTTATCACATTATTGAGATGTCTCAAAACACTTCACAGGACATATTGTAAAATGAATTGACTGTGCATTTTGTGGGCGAAATACTTGAGATGTAATGCTCAAAACTTTGCTTTCTTTGAGGGAAGCTTTTTATAATTCAGAGTTCTTCAACAAAAAGAAAGCTAGAATAACTTCAAGCCCATTGGCGAATGTCATTTTCACTGTCTTTTGACTCAGGAGCCACTTAAACCATAGAAATGGTCAATAGAATAGGAGGCCTTTCTGCTCAATTTTTTTGTGCATGTCCAAGAAGCTGTCTATCCTAATCCAAATTCCCTGCCCTTTCCTTGCAGGATAACCCTTTAATACCCTTCCATGGACGTGCTTCTACAATTATATTCCAAATGCCCCCATAATTTCCATGGTTCTACTTTCTGTGGCTCTAAATCGACTTTGGTCTAAAATTGGCCCTGATTCAATAATGAATAAAAACACATCAACAACTAGTTCAGTTGGTTAGCTTTGCCTGAATATGGAAATGCTCTAACGAAGTGCTATAGACAGCAAGGTTGAATTGACTCGGTGTTTATTGAAACAATCATTAAAAGCTTATATTCTGAAGAGTGACTAGGATGGTTATTGGTCAGGACTTACTGGTTCAGAATGTATCCTATAGTATTGTGTACAAAGGGGAAGAGAAGCAGCTGTGAAACACAAGTTTACAGATGTGACAAGCTCCTTTTTATTACTGTATTTACAGCGTTTTTATAGCTTGTCCTCTGGCACTTCGCCTTGGGATGGCAGCATTGAGAATGACGAGGCCTTCTCTCTAATGGCAATGACTGGTTACTTGTTTGTAGTTTGTGGCTGAAAAGTTCAGAGCTCCCACTCTGTCTTTTGTAAAGTAGTTTGAGACATCCGCCAAGGTGCTGTGTAAATTGTTGCAATAGAAATGTCATCTTGCAATTTTTCGTACAACCGGGCTTTCAGCCCCACCCACCTCCCAGCTCCCATTCAGTTGTGTGAAGCACTTTCAGACAGCCTCTAGACATGAAAGGTGCTATTTAAATTTTATATTCTTGTTTGACTTGTATCGTAATTTTGCGGTCATTACACTTTCCCACACAAAGGGTGAGATAATTGTGACACTTGTATTGTCTTGTACAATAAAAGTTAATAGTTAATATTGATTATTATATAATTTATTAATTTTATTTCTTATAGTT